ATCTGAATACACAGTTGTTGAAGGTAATCCTACAATCGAGCGTAACTTCAATGAAAACCTATATGCTTTGTCATTATAATGTAATAGAATGTTTATTACCTTAAATTAATTTTAAATCTAAACTACTCTTAACTTAATCTTAACTTTAGAATTCTAAAAATTATTGAAGTATGCAAATAGATGAATATAATAAAGACTTGGGAAAGTGATTTGTAAATTCTAGTATTGCGCAGTGTTTAATTAAGCTTCAATGTGTTAATGCACTTAGGTATAGTATTTGCTTTAGAAAAATAATTAAAATTTTACTTTAAACACGATAAAAATACCTATATATTTAGAATGATAATAAGTTCATATGAACACCAAGACTATTTAAGATCAATAATAATTTTAATGAATCATAATATTTTCTGTTCAATAAGGTTTGGCAATTCACATTTCCAATTGTGGAAATTTACTTTGAAAATAATAATTCTGTTTACGAAGTTCAGAGAGCACTTCGTCCATTTTACGGTCAACATAATGGCTACGTCAATAACTAAAATTTCCCTATATGAACCGAAGATAATCCTCAAGACCTTAATGAATCACCATTATATCCATTAAAATTAACTATTTGGTGCGGTTTACAAGCCTGCGCTGTCATCGGTCTATATTTCTTTCTTAATGAGGAAGGGTCTGCCGTTATGGAGAATACCGAGCGTTATCAAACCATGCTGAGTTAAATATCGACGAGATTTGGTTCCAACAAGGCGGCGCGGAGCAACTTCCTATACAGCGCGCCTAGGTGAGGTTACTGGGGTTGTCCGAAGACGCACTAAGACCATGAGGTCCATTGTGATACCCTCAAGAATGTGACACCTGTCACTATAACCATTTAGTACTGACCACAAAGCCATTGACACGAGCTAGGGAATAGCAGTACGCCTAACAATCAATTTATTGTGAAATCAATTTGGTAACAACTTTATTTCCAGAAGTGGTCCTTTTAATTGACCCCCTTATTCGTGTGATTTAACACCTCTCGATTAGTTTTTATAAGGCTATGTTAAGTCATTGGTTTATGCCGACAAACCAGTAATTTTTGAAGTATAGGAAGCCAATGTATACGCCACCATTGATGCCATACTGCCACATTTATTGCTAAAAATAGTCAAAAATTGGATCGAATGGACTTTGTAAATGACTATATGGAAATCATGTTCAAAAAATAAATGCCATAAAATTATCTACTATATAATTTTCCTAACTGTTAACTGAATACCGATTTCATATTACATTCAAAATATTTTTATTCATTTCAAATCCACAACTATCCTATATTATTAGACCTTTCAAAACTCTATTTATCGTAAATTTAATGCAGATGAAACAAATACAATAGTGCAACTATAGGTTGTCAGTATCGAAATAGGAAATTTTGAAGTTACCACAATGCAATTATTTTCATAGCATTTCTCTTTTTTTTTGTATTTTATTGCAAAATACTGAAAATTTAAAGGTTCGATGCCATTAAAACATTTATATGATTTATTTCTTCATTATTGAAAATAGTGAAAATGTGAAAATACGGGTACTTTATGGTTCCATTTCACTTTCACTTACTGTCAACAAACTGAGCTACATATAAAATAAGAAATAAAATAAAACAAATAATTATAATTACTTTTAAATAATTCCACGGCACGTTAAATTTTTCATTTCATAATATGACGACAAAATATCTTCAATCTAAAACAATATTCCAAATTCAAGTTGCGCGAGTGAAGCAAGTTCAAAAACCCCAAAACAATGCAGATACAAATGCTATTTATGCAGTCGAAGCAAAGAATGATCCAACGATCAGAGAAGAATAAAAACAAAAAACATTTTCCATAATGGGAACAATACGTCTATGCTCTATTTACTTGGTTAAGTTATACAAGTGTCACATGCGTAACGCGTTGAGCTCACATAGCGTTTAGTTTTAATGATGTTGACAATGATGATCAGATGAAAATTTAAAATTATAGACCAACCGTGAAAACGTTTCTGTATTTTATATAATTAACTCACAAAATGAAATGGAATTGTTCTTAATGATCTTTCATTCAAAGTACTTTATAAACTTATAATAACAATGATATATGAGAGCCATAAAAGAAGTATGAAACCATCAAATTTTGATTTACATCCCAATATTTTTTAACACCTGAATACTAGTGACTGAATCACTAATATATATTAAAATATTTTCAAGATTTCTAAGTATAGCTTTAAATCGCGTAGTGTTGGAAATCATGGTCAATGGTATTGGAGGGTTTTGGGTTAGCTTAAGGCCCCTATGTACCAGAGAGTGACTTTAGACTCTTCTTGTTAAGGTTGAGAGCGGTGTTTGCTCTTTTGTCAACCAAAATTCAAGAATTTTTTGGAATGATATAGGCCGTCTATTCCATTGCAATATTCATTGCTATTTTGTTTAATCCCATTTTCGTCTCCTGTTTTATGTTCATTTTATTGAATCCAAAGAAAGGAGTTGGAATGGTTCTTTTGCCCCTTTTTTGGCGTTAAGGTCCGCCTTTTCATTGAATTCGTGTCCTTCATGTCCGGGTACCCAAATCAGAGAGACCTGGTTGTGGATGGCCAGTTGATTGAGTGCATTGTTACACTCTATAAGGACTTTAAGTTTGAAATCATAGTTTTTGTTGGCATTCAATTTTTCAAAGAGTCATTTAATAAAGAGTTAAATAATTTCACAGTACGGAATAGATTAGAAACCGATAATGCGATATTGTAAATTTCGGGACCAGATCCTATGATCAGTGAATCGATATTGCGACATTAGTTGGTTATAAAAACCTTATTCTCCATATTTGTTTCACCCTTACGTAGATCTGATCACCATTGCAATAATACAACAATTTCAAAAAAGTGTTTGACGTAATCCAATAAAAAATCGGAAGATTTTTTGTATCGTTTAAAGGCCTGAGAGCAACTTTTAACTTCTAAAACTATGACTACTCATTTTACAAAACAAAGTCTGGTAACTCTAAACAATTAAAAACTAATCAATATGTCTATAGGTTAGATCTAAATCCACGAAGTTATAAAAAATCAATATACTTTTACCTAGTGCTATGCTAATAATTTGTTTAGATTAAGCAAAATTTTTATCTTTTAATTGTTCTGATAATTGAAACTCGATTGCCACTCTTTCTGATATAATCAAACCGTGTTATTGCTTTTCCAAGCATATTCAACTAGAAAATATTGAATTACTTCAGTAATCTTCATATCTACAAGAAACAAAAATATAGTATGTAATCTAATCAAATTTCTTTCATAATGTAGACCTTTAAATAATCATATGTATAAAAAAACAATAAACTCAGTGTTATTTCCAAGTATTTAGTTATAAGTCAGAATGTTTCTTTATCCAATCACGATGATAGTAGACCTTGGCGTAACCATCAGGATTATTTGTACCACAACCACCATAAACAAAGCCAGCAATGCCGACTACTTCGTTATTATACATAGCTGGGCCGCCGGAGTCGCCATTACATGCACCATTATTAGCGGCATGACCCAAGCAGATCAACGCATCACTATCCCAATTAATTTTTTCCTTACACTCACTACGGGAAATAGCTGTCAAAGTGTTCCATTGTAGCTTCTGTGGCAAATCTCCACCTTGTTTCAAACGTCCCCAACCTGATATTATAACTTCTTGGCCAGCTGGTGTTTCACTACTTGCTATGTTTATCGGTTGTATATTTTTGGAATAAATCAAAGGCTCGGCCAATTTAAGCAAAGCAACATCATTTAAGAAATTTCCATAACTTTCATGGGCGACAACCGCAGCTACTCGAATTAAAACACCACCACTTAAACGATCATTGCTTCCCGCGCGAATTGTCAAAAGGCTCGGATCGTAACTGTAGAGAAATATGTGTTCATATATAATTACAACAATAATAAAAAAAATAGAATTTTAATATATTTACGTGTAGTATGTTCCATTCGCATTCGTTGTTCCCGCGCAATGCGCTGCAGTTAGAATATAATTCCTTGTTATAATCGATCCACCACAATTATGGGAACCGTTGTATCTAAAAGAAACCTGATGTGGGAATTGCGCAGTAGTAGCGTCTACACCTCCTACAACACGTCCGGTAGGAGCAGCATAACTAAATGTTATTAAAATAATAATTAGCAATGTACACAAAGCAAGTTTCGCCATTTCAATCTTATTGCTTGGCCGTCACTAATACCTTCACCATAATATTGGGGCCTTTTATAACCACGCATTGTGGTTATTTTATTATTTATAGAATTTATTACCCACTCACCGAAAGCCTTATTATTTTTGCTTTGCTTAATTGATAACTTATCTACTTACTTCTATAAAATAGTTACACTAGAATTTGGAAATAATTTTTTTTAAATGTTATTAATGAAGATTTTCAAACCGGTTTGAAGGCCCCAATTTTTTCAAGAAACTATAATGTAAGAACAAATATTACGTTACCAGACTTGAAACTAAAATCAGATGCCAAAGGCAGCCGGTAGGCTCTCAACCAAGCTCTCAAATAGAGTCCACAAGACAATAATCTACATGGCATGACATTAAAAATTTGGAGAGGAACAGTATCTACAAATGATTGTAATAGAAATTATACATAATAATAAAAATTTCTCACACCTGTGATCGAATTATATCCTAATTGCTTCGTTGTGTTGAATTATTTGATAACTTATCTACTTATTTGTATGGAAGTGTTATGCTAGAACTCACAAATTATTGCTTTTGAAAGTGGTATTTTGTTTTTTATAACTTTTGAAGGTTCTATATTATAATGTTAAATATACCAGATTTGTATACCACACATCAAAAATCTTTAAAAAAGAACAAACGACAACGAAGTAGTATCTACCAGTTTCTAATAGGAGTTCATTGAAGAAAGAAGACGAAGACATTCTTCAATAAACTTTTCAATAATTTGAAATATCACCAAAAATTCCACATATTTTTCAAACTTTTATTTGTTTTTTTTTTCAAATACTGAGTACACTGCACATAGTTCACAAATCAGAGTGTTTTTTAATCCATTCAACATGATAGAATACCTTAGCATAACCATCAGGATTTTTGCTACCGCAACCGCCAACTACAAAACCAGCAACTCCAACCAATTCGCCATTGTAAATAGCTGGACCACCAGAATCTCCATTACAGGCGCCAAAGTTGGGGTCATGAGCCAAGCATATTAAAGTATCCGAAAACATGCCGATGGTAGTCAAGCATTTAGTTTTGCTAATGGCTTCCAATGTTGTCCACTGAAGTTTCAGAGGAATATCACCTCCGGTTTTCAAACGACCCCACCCAGAAATAATCACTTTTTCACCAGGTGTCACTTCAGAACTAGCTAAAGGTATAGCTTTTATATTTGCTGAGTAAATCAATGGAGTTGAGAGTTTGAGTAGAGCAACATCATTCAAGAAGTTGCCATAGCTTTCATGCACAGTTATTGTTTCAACTGCAATTACAACACCACCAGATAAGCGGTTTGAGCTTCCAGCGCGTATAGTATAGTATTTAGGATCATCGCTAAAAGCAAAAAGTGATGAAATATTTTTAAAAATTACTATTTACTTCACTACTTACACGTGATAGATTCCATCTTCATCTTCGTCACCCACACAATGTCCTGCTGTTAAAATATAATTTCGAGAAATTATTGAACCACCACATATGTGAGAACCTGAGTATCTTAAAGATATTTGATGGGCAAACTGTCCTTCAGTAGCATCAATGCCTCCAACTATACGCCCAGTGGGATTTGCTGAAATAACACCAACAAAGGCGAAATATAGCAGCGCTACTATAGTAGGTTTAAACATGTTGATATCTGTGAGCGAAACTGACATGAGTAACGTCTTTTATGTGGTTCTTATTATTTCAGATTGGAGTGATAGAGTGATAAGGTTTTTGCGTTTAGTAATCTAATCTCGCTAAAATGTCAAGTGCCAAAAACTGATTGAATTTCATGTACTGGAATAAGAACATTAAAAAGGAAGAGGGTCTTCCAATGAATGGCGCAAATTTATAACGTCCATTCCGCAATAAGATAACATTGAAACGTGCAGGGTTCTTTATATAAATCAAATACAATTGATGGTTTTATGAGGCCTCATTTCCTTAAATGAAGCTCTTTTGGTTGAGGATGGATTTGATAAGTAATAACATACAATACCGGAAATAGATGAAGAAAATGATAACATCATATAAGAGTTGACAAAATATTTATTTATTAAACTGAAGTCAGCATAATTCATTATATAAGTATTTTTATTTATTGAGATTAGCCTCTCTGCTATATTTTTTTTATCATTAATATATCCAAATATGTTTTTGAATGTTCATACTAATATAACTCCTAAATAACTACAATCTATTGCCATCAGACTCTCGCTCTTCCTTCCCTTTTCTTTCCGTCTGTTGCTAATATTCATAACTTTTTGATAATTGAGCATTATAAAATCATGTTTATCGATCTTTCTGGAAGATATTTCCATTATCTGCTTTAAGTGCTTTGATATTCATGGTATCATATTGAATCCCATTGAATAAAATATTTAAAGCCGGGTTATTATTATAATAATAATAATCATCATCAGTAAATGTCGTTTGTCGTACGATATTCAGCCTGTTAAACAGTATGTCCTTACATACAAAAACAGTTTGGATATAAGGGTCAGACTGCTAATGGATCTAGTAAACTTTTTTAGTAAAATACTTCTCATCAAAATAGTCGGTTTTATTTGTCATCATATTGTGAAGTGAAGTATATTTTTTTCCTATATATATATTTTATATATCTCCATAAGACAGATCTATTATATAAACAAGAAATATGATAATAATAACGGCCATTGTGTTGAAAATCTTAAAAAAACAATTATATTCCGAAATAGGATGAGTGTTGAAAAAATTTTGAACCTTATTCTCCATAAATAAGCTACAAGCGTTACTCTACCCTATCTATTAATGCATACATACATAGCTATATGACGCATTAAAGGTAATCCGTATTACTATGGTATATCAAAAAGTAATGTTTTAAGTAATTTTTTATTTAAAATTATATCAATCTTTGTTTAAATATATTAGAGAACAATTTAATATATTACTTAAAAATAATAATTACTAATTCATACATGGAATAAAGTAGAGACCAAGAGTATGAGATAATTATGTTATAATTTAATAATATTTTTTTATTAAAACATTCATAGCTTTTTCTACCAAATAAAACAAATAAATGCTGAATTATCAGCATTTACAGAAAATTTTAAATCATATTTTCATGAATCCAGTCGAGATTATAAGAAACTTTATTATAACCATCAGGACGTGAGGTGCCACAGCCTATAACAACAAAACCTGCAACTCCAACCAATTTGCCTTCATAAGTCGCCGGACCGCCAGAGTCACCGTTACATGCACCAGCACCTTTAGGATGGTTCAAGCAGATCAAAGCATCTGAAGAGACCAAAATCATTGTAGCGCATTTAGTTTTACTAATAGCTTCGACTGTATTCCATTGTAACATTATAGGTATATTTGCGGCATTATTTTCTAAAAGACCCCATCCAGAAATGATAACTTCAGAACCAGCCGGCACTTCTTCTTCAGCCAACTCAATAGGTTGTATAATATCAGAAAATTCCAATTCTTCCTCAAGTTCCAACAAAGCTAAGTCATTGATAAAACTTGCATAGTTCTGATTAACAGTAACACGTTTAACTTGCACGATGACACCACCGGCTAAACGGTTATGTGTACCGGCGCGTATAGTAAAGTTCTTTGCATCGTAACTGAAAAAATGTTAAGATACTTGTAGATTATATGAAAATCTTTTTCATATATTACAGACTTACGGTTGAGTGCCAGTTTCAACAACACAATGAGCTGCAGTTAATATGTATTTACTGCTTATAATGGATCCACCACAGATGTGATAGTGATTCATGCGCAATGAAATTTGATGTGGAAATTGACCTGGCAACGCATCGTAGCCACCTACAATACGTCCCGAATTGTAGGCCACAACGGTCGCAACTAAAGTGCAGAACACCAGAATGCCAGTTTTAATATTTAACATTCTGCTTCTATTTACTTTTAGCAAATAAATGGAACGGCGGCTGTTCCCCACTTTTTATAGATTCGTGAACTACAAAATTTTGATTTTTTAATTCTTGATTTCAAGTGCTTACTATAGTCTTTCAATGTATTATCAACATATAACAATACTCGTGTGTTAGATTTGTTATGAGATATTTATAGCCTCGGATTTAAACACTACATATTTTTTTTGTTCTTTTAATATATAAACATTTATATTAAATAATATTTTAACAATAAAATTTACTACGGTTTTTGTATACGTTATTTTCAGTTATAAATAATTCTTTTATTTAAAATTATCTAATCTTTATTTTTTGTTGTTTTGTTTTCCTTTTTTGTTAAATTGATTAACTATCTAATATAAATCTATAATATAATAAATATAATCTACATTTCTAATGTACGACATTTAATTACTTCCTCTTCACATTAACTTCCTAACTATAGGACTGGTTCATTTACTAGCACGTAGATATATGGGTGCATACATATATTTAGGTCAGGTTGAGGTTATTTTCACTAGATTTAAATTTAAATTCAAATCAATCTTAAGAAGTACTATAAGTAGTGACTATATTGAAGTTTTGTACTTAAAATAGAGATTTAAGTGAAAAATGTTAAAAACACGTCTCTGGTCCTAAAAGTTACTTTATATGTTATTGACAAAATTTGTCTTAAAGTCAATTGCAATTTAAACTATCAATACATTTATTATATGTATACATAATTTATTATATTTATTATATGTATATAGTTGTAATATTATCCGAAGTAAATATTTGTGATTCACTAATAGCGCAACAGGCTTCTAATAATTGAATATATATTTTGCATGAGCTGAAGAGATCATTGATGCAAAGTAATACCTTTATAATCACAGGCAATAAAAATAAAAATGCGGTTATAAAACTTCGCTAGATCATTATTAAGGAAAGGGTTTTAGAATGTTCTCTTGAAAAAGCGAATTCTAAAACAAAATTTGAAGTCCCTTAACCGCTTTTCTTATTTATTGAATTAACATGAATATTTTATATATAAAACCATTAAGTTTCTCTTTAGTAGTTAATCTCTCTTTTATTTAATATCATTTACAAAAATTCAATTTATTTGACTTTCGATCCAATCAGAATAATATGCAACATTTGAGAATATGTCAGGATAACGTGATCCACAAGCACCAATAACAAGATTGCTAACACCAACAAGTTCATTCTGGTACACAGCTCCATTACCAGCATCACCACGACAACTGCCCTGCTTAAGATCATGATTTAAACATAGTATGGAAGCATCACCCTCCACGAAGGCGTTCAAACATTCATCCTCATTAGCTACGTTGAATGTAGTTGTCTGTAACTTATAAGACGCAGCACCATTAGTGCCCTCACCCCAACCGGCAACCGAAACTGTAGCACCTACTGGTAATTCATCAGAGGCTTTTGCTATGGCAATACTTGCTATAGTTGAACTCCATGTAACCTGTTCAATCTTTAGAATAGCAATATCGTTTTTCAGTTCTTCATAATCAGGATGCACAGATACGCTCAAGATTTTTGGAAGTTTGCCACCTGCTAATTGGTTAATACTGCCCACTCGCACTGACAAACGACTTATGGCGTAACTAATATTTAAAAATTTTTATAAATTAATATACTTGTATATTAGGAAACCGCTGAGATTAGTTACCTGTTGTGATTATCATCTACAACGCAGTGTGCTGCAGTTAATATATGTTCTGCGCTAATTATACTACCACCACAGATATGAGCTCCATCCAAACGTATAGATGCTGCATATGGTACTTCTCCAACGATTGCACTATTTCCATCCAATATTCTATTAGTTGGCTGCGAGAGACAACTAATGGCGAATAGACCAACTACAAGGACTAAGCGTGCAATTGCCATGATGTATTATCAAAAACTAAACAAGAATATACTTAACGCTTATTAAACGCCACAATATTTATTACTCATGCCATTATTTTAGACGGTTAAAATTCCGATATTGATTTATCTAATCTGGAGCGTATTGTGCGCTATTTTATTTAATGTTGTAAATTTAATTTATTCCACTGAACGCATTCAAATAATACAGGGTGTTAAAATGATTAGTTACTGAACAAATTCCCTCTTTTTAATTTTTATAAAATAAAGTTTCTATATTTGTAATTAGTGTATTATTTTTCTACTCTCTAGGTGCTTGCAATTGATAAGACGGATAGTCTATAGAACAGGTCGATGAAGGGTTTTATACATATGTAGTTTTGGTATTACAAGAATTTTGGTTGATATAATTTGATAAGTGAAAAATACTCCCTCGCTTTTGAAAATAATATTTTTAGATTTTTAAAGAATCTTATAGATTCAAACCGATCAGAATATATCTGACGTCTCCTGCAGTCCGATATAGGCAAACAGCAAAAGAAAGAATTTTGGGAGCTGAAATCAAGCGATATGAATCGAATAACTGTACTCATGTATATACTTATATAATATATATATACTAAAATAAAAATTGCCTAAAATACTAAAATTATTTGAAATTGCGTAAAAGTTTGTTTCGTTGATCATTCACAAATATAAAGATTTTCGGTAAATTAGACATATATCTATATGTAAACATATTTTCTTTATTAAGATAAAATATGGAAAACTTTTCCATATAACTTAAGTTTTCTAAAAAATCTACACAAATATTAATAAAAGTTTTATGGTGGTAGCAAGTAATATGGGAGAGGCCTAAGACAGATTGAGGAACTCAACCCTGTTAAATTTCCTGGTTGTAATAATTAACAAGAGAAATTTTGTTAAGTCAGACTTAGTTTCACAAATTCTTAAATGTTAGAATTTCTTAATGAATTAACAGATTATAAGCTGTGACTATGTCAAGACCTGTGAGATAATATTAAGAGTTTTCTTATATATTTTTACAGGCTTCTTTATTTGAAAGACCTGGTTTATAATCTGTAATAACGAACGTAATCAGACTTTCACTACCTAAGCTTACCAAAATTTTTGTTGCATATATTCGAACAGAATTGGCATATACCAAACTGTAGGTTTTACCAATTGCTGCAATTGGAAATTTTAAGGATTTATAGAAAGTATTTAAAAGGGCTTGCAAGAACTCCGATCTCTGCTATTAATGCATAATCTCTAAAAGTATAATTTTAATAAATTGAAATGAAAAACCATTTAAATTTTTTAATGAAATTTTAATCGAGTTAAGCTCTTCTTAGCAGTGAATTCAACAGTTGTGCTTAGAATGATAATAATATCTATAATATCTATTATAGTAGATACAAATAATATTGATCCAATAAGGTAGTTGGTTGATGTTTTTTCGCACATACGTTGGTAAGATTAGTTCACACCCTTTATAGGATGAGAATACATTTTTGTTACTTTAGAAGTCATAAAGTCTTATCTTTATATGTGCAAATAAAAGTATTTTATGAACTAATTTATTACTGGTTTCATAATATATGTCATAAAAAAAACTTGACCAGAAGTAAGACGAGGTATATACATTTTTATGCAGAAATGATAACACATATATGTATTTATAATTTTTTAATTTATAAATTATAAGATTATTTATTATTAACTGCTAAGATATAAAAATTTTAGTGATTGTTATTAATCCATTCCTCGTAGTATGAAACTTTTGAAGCAATATCAGGATATTTTGTGCCACAACTGCCAAATGCAAAACTAATAACACCATATAAAATACCATCCACGTAAACACCAGCGCCATCATCACCACGGCAGATTCCTTCATTTACAGGGTGCTGCAAGCAAAGTATACTTTCATAGCCATAACCTGCTTCATATTCGCATTCAGGTGCGCTTAACACAGTCATTTTAGTTTCTTGTAATTTGTATGGTGTAGCTCCAGTTGATAGGAGACCCCATCCGGCAACTGTTACTGAAGCGCGATCTTCAATCACATCATCTGCGCCTGCAAACCATATTTTATTATACTTATCATTGAACTCAAGTGATTCGGTGAAGAACAGCAACGCTACGTCATGCAGGAAGTTGCCGTATGAAGGGTGTATGCGGACTTCTTCGATTTCACGTATTTCACCACCAGCATATTGATTTACGCTACCAATACGTACAGTTATGCGTTTGGCATCAATACTTTTAAAGGATACGAAAGAAAAAATAAATGTTATTTAAAATAGAAAACAAATAATGAAAAACCCTATATTAGGGTAAAAAGATGTAAAGGATTAATAAAGAAATATTAGGAGCTTACGGTGTAGTGCCGAGTTGAGAGACACAGTGTGCAGCGGTTAGAATGCGTTTTTTGCAGATAATTGTGCCAGTGCAGACATGAGCATTGTCCACGCGAATTGAGGCAACCCACGGCTGCTCACCGGAGACCACATCCCAACCGCCTATAATTCTGGAATTTGGTGAGGCAAATGTTGCACTTAGTCCGATAAAGCACAGTGCGGCGAAGAAACCTAAACGTGTAACTGCCATGTTGTTTAAAACACAACTAAAATTCATTTTAATTGTACAAAAAATGGTTTTCAAATTAATTTTTTTTTATATTAGTTCTTTGTGCTATAAGAAATTCAACATCTAATCAAATTACAGATTATTTGCTGATAAAATAGCGATATTACCTTTATCTGAGCAGGTTCCACAATCGCAAAGATTATTCCACAACCACTCGTTCGAGTATCGTTTGAACTTCAAGGTATTGAATGAGTGAATTCGAATGTGGACAATAAAGTTTTTTTTTATTTCTATGTTATTATTTTTTAATTCATAGATAATCAATTTTTATTGTTTTAATTTCATATAACTTATAATTCATTAGATTAAAAAATAATCGGAAGAAAAGTTTGGCAATAAAAAAAATTGTACCCAAAAAGAATTCCGGAAACCTACTTATAGGATTTGCTGATATTGTAAATAAGCATAGACGAGTTTATTTTTTCTTATCAAATTGAATATATTCGGAAAGGGTTTTGGCAAAGATATTATCTAATTTTTGTTTTGTGTTTTTAGTGCAGTTATTTAGCACTTTCTCTATTATTTTTGTATTTCGTTAAAATACAAATATGTGAAAATAAGTAATTTGTAAAAACTTTAACATATCAAATATTTATTGAATATTTAACCCTTTTCGAATAAAGAAAGATGAACTTTATCAAAACAAAAAAAAAATTTCGTAAATGGCGTGATTGTCTTGTCATCATTGTTATTTAAAAGTACTATATATAGGTAATTTTTCATAAAACACTTTCTTCTTCTTCTTCATACAGTCTAGTGTGAACCTTGACCTCCTTCTCTCTGCCTTCATCTGCTTCGATCTTATGCAGTTGTTTTTCAATTCAGAACTCCGAGCTTTCTGGTGTCCTCGTACACGTTTTCCTTCCAACACTTTATATTATAAAGATCTTAGACTTAATATTAAGACTGTTATATTAAGAACGTAATAAAAACAGTTCAATTCTCTACCTTGGCAGCCGTTATAATCATTTATTATCATTGAATGAGAACTAATTAGATTCCCAGTGAATTTTATGTGCTATCATTAATACTATATAAACATTATAAACTCTATATGTTCTACTTATCAATAATCAAAGCAACTAAACTTTAATTAACACCTCAGAACGGTATTATAATATTTACCAGTATAATCGATTTATAACAATTTATCTGAAGAGAAATTATGAATTAATAAGTAACGTTTGAGTTAGAAGACAGGGTATACTTGAATGAAAACCATCTAACATACTCCATGAAATATGTACTCGTACTTATTAATTGCTCTTGTTACTTTTCTGTCTGAATAAATATAATTTTACTACGAAAAACTTATATATTATATTAACTAATATGAGCTAAACAAGCAATACAAACTACACGCTAATGGTAATATACATACCATCTAATACTTATACATTAAAGAACTGTTTGGTATTATGACAAGTGCTATACCTATCTTAAACGTAAGCAGTTTGATATGTATATAGAAGTATGTTATTGTATTTACAAGATACTTAACTTTAAATTCGATTTCAATTTAAATATATAACACGTATTACTAGTCTGAACGCACATTCTGTCACAGATAAGATTAGAGTTTTTATTAATAAAATAAATAAATCAGAGTACTCATAAATAAACTATTATGACCTGATTGTCTTAAGGTTTCTGGTATAAAAATCCATGCTGGCCATAGAAGTCTTTTAGTTGGTTAACAATGGCGTTTAATTTCGCAGTGATTTTCGTAGTCTTAGCTTCCGTCTACTGCGTTAGTGGTATACCATTCTCAACTCGTGTTGTTGGTGGTGCCGATGCTGAAGTAGGCCAATTTCCTCATCAAGTATCGTTACAACGTGAGGATGCCTCGCACACCTGTGGTGGTTCAATTTTGAATGAGAATTTCATATTGACCGCAGCTCATTGTGTTGTTGTAGGGGCTGGCATTGAACCGTAGGTTTTGTTGTGCTTATATCTTGTCAATAATTATGTTATCATTGTGACTGTTGTTTATATCTAGTTATCCCCCTAAATATTTTCAAGTACGAGTAGGCAGCATACAACGTAGCACTGGTGGAAAATTATTAAAAATTAAACGAATTATTGTTAACAAAGAGTATGGTAACTTTTTGAACGATGTGGCTCTATTAGAATTGGAAGAACCATTGGTTTGGACAGACAATATAAAACCCATACAAATGGCTGAGGAAGAAGTACCCTCAGGTGAAGATGTTATTGTATCTGGGTGGGGTCGCTTGTACACTGGAGGTCCAATACCAAATCGTTTGCAATGGAATACCCTTAAAGCTATTACAACGGAGGAATGTGAAGAAGCTATTGAATTCGGACGTGACAGCTTAATTTGCTTGGCACATGAAGTTGATAATGGTGTGTGCAATGGTGACTCTGGTGGTCCTGCTACATACAAAGGTAAACTCGTAGGTGTTGCCGGATTTGTTGTTGACGGTTGTGGTAGTCACAATCCAGATGGTTACGCTAAAGTGTTCTATCATCGCAATTGGATAACAGAAAATATGCAGTGAGCATGCAAAACGAATGATTCAGTACTAAGTACTTTTAAATAAAAAATAAAAAACTAAAAGATTTTATATGCTATTACAATTTTCTTTTTATTTTAATTTTCATTGTTTCCTTTGTTGCTTGTTGCTAAATTAGTTGCTAAATTTAAGCTGATATTTTCTCAGTAATCCATTCATAGTTAAAAGGTATACTTGCATAGACATCAGGCAAATAACTTCCACATTCTCCAACAATATAGGCAGCAATACCAATTAATTCACCTTGATATACAGCGGGCCCACCGTAGTCTCCACTGCAAATACCATTCTTACGTGGATGACCCAAACAAATAACTTGGTTATCAGATTTTCCAATAACTCTGCTGCATTCATCTGAATTGACAATAGTTGCTGCATTGATTTGTAGAGTACGTTGCATGTATTCATCAGTTTCCGTAAGGCGGCCCCATCCGGAAACTTCGACGTCTTCTCCAACAATTGGATTGTCATTTGCCAGTGGTATAGGTTGAATATTAGCGGAAAACACAAACGCTTCAGTCAGCTTAAGCAAAGCAATGCCAGTACTAAGTTCACTATAATTAGGATTGATTGTAATTTCTTCAACGACGATGGATACACCGCCAGTATAAAGATCAATTGATCCGGCAGTTACTCTGAAAAGTTGTGGTGGCCAACTGAAAAGAAAAAGTAACATACATTTATTATTCATTAAAAAATGTTAAGGTTTCTATATCTGTATGCTTACGGTTTGTCACTGCCTTTTGAGCAAACACAACTTAATAGAGTTAAAGCATAACGATCACTCAAGATGACTGCTCCACAGTTAGGTGAACCACCAATAGTTAACGATGCTTGATATGGCACTTGGCCCAAAACCGCGTCATCTCCACCAGTAATGCGACCTTGAGGAGAAGCACTACAAGTCAAAATAGCTGCTAATAGATAAAAACTGCGTAGGAAAGTTTTCATTTCGCTGTAAAAAACTCAACTGAGGGTACTTGTCAAAATTTCCTTACTTTTATATTCATATAAGATATCGCCATGAAACTGATAAGTGATTAGTAAAAAGAATAGATAATATATGACCAAAAATATTTTTATTTTTCGTCAATCTTATCAAAAGAATCAGTAATTAATAGATTACTGCAGTACTACGAGTATTCATTGAACCACCAACTGTTAACTTACCAAGTGCTATATGATATCGCCTCTTTTTGCGATGCAACATTGAGGCGAAATACTGTCAGCTAATATGACTATATAAATATGTATAAATAAATATAAACTGTAGACACACTATTTTGCTCCTTAACATAAATGAAAATTGGAACTAAAAATAAGAAAATATATTAGCTTTAGCCCTTCACACATATAACGATGATTAAAATCAATATTTTTAAAAAAAATTTCTAAAAAATTATTAAAACAACTTTTTATTATAAACCTAATGAACGACCATAGTTTCTAAAGTATCTCACTTTCAGTGGTTTTCTATAAGACCCAGATATACTAGAACCCGATCAATTCACCAAAAAATATAAATGAACTATTTATCGGTTAGCTCAAAAACTGAGTAATTGAAAAACATAAAACACACACACAGATAAATATACTCGATGAAGTTATTCAACGCGCGACATTTTCGTTCTGCTAATGCTCTTCTATAATTGATTCAATATGTTACAATCATCTTGACAAACTTAATGTACTCCATATTCATAATAGTGTAAGTGAAATAAAACGATCAATTTAGAAAAATGAAAAATTACTAGAAATATCCTTACTAATATTCCAGAGCACAGATTGAACGATTCAAACACTGTTTATAATAAGAGGATTAATGATAGACCAGGTCTAAAGTACGCAAATAAAATTTGTACATTTCACAATGTGTTCATGGATGAAGTTTAGATTGCTTAAATTTGGAAACTATATAAAGAATTTAATTAAAATAAAGACAATGGTTTAAAAATAATGCTTTTTATTAATGGGTTTCGAAGTATAGAAAGTATTTGAACACAAAATTCTTTAGTACTGTATTAACAGAAATATTTTAAATATATATTCTTAATACGTATATACACAATTGTAATCCAATACAGAACATATGTTCAATATAATCGATACCCGACAGGAATAAATTTTATAATCGCTTGATGTTAACGATTCAAATTTGTGAAGAATTTTTTAGTGTTGAATAGATTTTAAGCTGACATTGTTTCAACAATCCAATCGTAGTTACTAGCGATGCTGGTGTACACATCAGGCAAATAACTTCCACATTCACCCAAAACGTAGGCAGCAATGCCAACCAATTCACCTTGATAGACAGCGGGTCCACCGAAATCTCCTCTACAAATACCGTTGCTGCGTGGATGATCCAAACAAAATACTTGACTGTCGGATTTATCTATAGAACGACTGCATTCAGCTTCGTTAATAACAGTTCCTTCATTGATTTGTAAAGCACGTTGCATATTTGAATCAGTGTCCAACTGACGTCCCCATCCGGAAACTTCAATCTGTTCACCAACTACTGGACTATTCTTTGCTAAAGGTATTGGTTGAATGTAATCTGAGAAAACGAATGGTTGACGAAGCTTCAACAATGCAAGTCCAGTATTAAATTCGCTACGATGAGGGCTAAGTGTGATTTCTTCAACGAAGATTGATACTTCGCCTCTGTAAAGATCAATCGTACCAGCGTTTACACTAAATGCTGATGCTGGCCATCTAAATAAGAAATAAATTATTTTTCTCAAAATCTCTGATATATGAGTTTTCTTACGGATTCTGACTGCCTGCTGAACAGACGCATCTCATAGCAGTTAGAGCATAAAGTTCACTCAAAATTACTGCACCACAATTAGGGGAACCAGCAACGGCTAAGTAAGCCTGATATGGTACTTGTCCTAATATGGCAGTGTGTCCTCCGGTTATACGGCCTTGAGGTGAACCACTGCAAGCCAATATGACTGCTAATAGACATAAACTGCGGATGCAAGTCTTCATTTCGCTATAATAAACTTAACTGAACGAATTGAGAAAAATTTCCCTATTTTTATATACAATCATGGTATGCTTGTGAATGCGATAGCATGTATTGTCAAAATAACAATAGATAATATATAAACATTTTTGTTTTTGCTTTTGTCAATCTTATCAAAAGAATAAGTAATCAATTGATAAGTAATAAAAGTAAGAACTTTACCCTAATAAAAAGGATTTACTTTGATTCACTTTCTTTTAAGTACACCTACAACTGAGTTGCAGGTGGCAACATGATATCTAATAGATTGAATCTAAACAGCCTTTATCAGAAAATATGAGTACATAAATTATAGAGAGGTTTCGAAATTATAAAATATATGAAATGAAATCAAAGGTTAAAATTCGGAGATAAAAAATCGAATGATGTGGCTAGGAAAACCAATTTCAATAGTTTATTTATAGAAAATCCAGATTTTTTATGAATGAAAAAAAAAACTGTTATCAAAAAGACTTAAGTGGCTTAAAAATCCAGTTCAATTGATTATGTACTGGAAATTCAGATTTTTTATGAGGAAAAAAACTGTTACAATAAAAATTTAAATAAAATTAAATGATATCTGAAGTAATTAATTCATAAAAAGGTAATAAAATCCAGTTGACAATAATTTATTGAAATTTGATATTAGTGTAAACTACATTTTTATGAACAACTACTTATATTGATATGGTTCGAAACACTTAAATTTTGCTTAGGAATATTGTAAAAATGAATTAATTATTTACCTACTTATAGGTTTTTTGACCTGATCGCCGTTCAATTTTGAATTTATATATTAAGGGTAATAGGGAAAGGATGTTTGCTCTTTTTTAAACGGATATGTATTAAAAATTTTCAAAACATGCTAAATTTTCATATTCCAACACAAGTAATGCCTTTGACTACTTCCAACTCTGAACTTGAACTCTTAATCTAGTTTTGTTAGACATGATCTACAAATGAAATTATTGCAAATGGACTCGTAACACAGAAATTTTGACTATTTGCCGTCTTGATCTGTCTGGATTCACAGACGTAACTTAATAAATTTTAATCATTTAGCTCAAAACTAAGATATTAGTTTATTTACTAACCGAATAGACAAATAGATGAGTATATTCAAGACGAGTCGTTTTCGTTATGTTAATCGGGAGAATATGTGTAGAGTACATGGTCTCTTTTTTTTGTCAATACGTTACAAACATCTTGACAAACTTAATGTACACTTTGTTCATAATAGTGTAAGTGAAATAAAAACATCTATTGAGAAAAATAATGAAAAAATTTGTTTGAAAGCAAAAGAAAAATATTTTTAGAAATATCCTCACTAATATTCCAGAGCACAGCCTGAACGAGTCAAACAGTATTCAAACGAGTATTTAAAGGGTTAATGGTAACAGAACAGATCTAAGCAGATCAATCTACCGTATACTGAATTTAATGACAGTGGGATTTTTTTCCCTATTCCCATTTCGCTTATTCTGAACAAATTTCGAATCAAAAACTATGGATCATTTTGTACCAAACTATTCCCAAGGAAGTTGTGTGGAAAATTAGTTAGAATAGAGTTGAAAAGAGTTTAATTTGATAAGTAAATATCCAATAACGATCAATTTTTCGAATATATTTAAATATTTATTCATTTATATTATATTTATTTAAAAACTAGATTATACTAACTTACAAGCATAACATTCAAACTATAATTTATTTTTGTATTATAGTAAAGATGCCACGTCCAACAACACCGGGAATGTTATGTTTAACATAAAATGCTAAGGACATTTTTTTTTCTTCTTCTTATTAAATGTTGGTTGGATTTTCGTAGTAAGTTCTCTACCGACATATCGACACAAACATCTATCGCGATATATGAACAGGTACCTCTTTCCTGAGATTCCAGCACGAATCTCTACCCCTACATATTGAAATGAAACACCATATGATATGGTGTGTGATATGGTCCATATAAACTTATCGGCATAAACCACCATTTCGACTTATCGATTTACCGACATGAATCAAAATGTCGACTTAACGACTAATCGACATAAACCAGAATGTCGACTTATCGACTTACTGCTAATTTATTTACTCTATAATAACTTTGAAATCTACAATCAGAAAACTGTTTATCTTAAAACCAAATTATAATTTGGATTAATTTGGATTATAATATAATGGATTACCAGCGTCCCGCAAATTTCTTCGAATAATCCTCTGTTGCATTTATTGCTCCTGTTCTTGTACTTACTTCTCCGCTATAATTCGAAATCCAATTGGATGCATTATTAAAAATTCAAATTTAAGAATTTAAAATAACATAACTTATGACTTAGGAATATTTAGAATAAGGTTGAATATGTTTATGGAAAACTATACAAATTGATTTGATCAAAGAATTTAATTAAATAAAGACAATGGTTTAAAGATAATGCTTTTTATTAATGGGTTTCGAAGTATAGAAAGTATTTGATTACAAAATTCTTTAGTACTGTATTAACAGAAATATTTTAAATATATATTCTTAATACGTATATACACAATTGTAATCCAATACAGAACATATGTTCAATATAATCGATACCCGACAGGAATAAATTTTATAATCGCTTGATGTTAACGATTCAAATTTGTGAAGAATTTTTTAGTGTTGAATAGATTTTAAGCTGACATTGTTTCAACAATCCAATCGTAGTTACTAGCGATGCTGGTGTACACATCAGGCAAATAACTTCCACATTCACCCAAAACGTAGGCAGCAATGCCAACCAATTCACCTTGATAGACAGCGGGTCCACCGAAATCTCCTCTACAAATACCGTTGCTGCGTGGATGATCCAAACAAAATACTTGACTGTCGGATTTATCTATAGAACGACTGCATTCAGCTTCGTTAATAACAGTTCCTTCATTGATTTGTAAAGCACGTTGCATATTTGAATCAGTGTCCAACTGACGTCCCCATCCGGAAACTTCAATCTGTTCACCAACTACTGGACTATTCTTTGCTAAAGGTATTGGTTGAATGTAATCTGAGAAAACGAATGGTTGACGAAGCTTCAACAATGCAAGTCCAGTATTAAATTCGCTACGATGAGGGCTAAGTGTGATTTCTTCAACGAAGATTGATACTTCGCCTCTGTAGAGATCAATCGTACCAGCGTTTACACTAAATGCTGATGCTGGCCATCTAAATAAGAAATAAATTATTTTTCTCAAAATCTCTGATATATGAGTTTTCTTACGGATTCTGACTGCCTGCTGAACAGACGCATCTCATAGCAGTTAGAGCATAAAGTTCACTCAAAATTACTGCACCACAATTAGGGGAACCAGCAACGGCTAAGTAAGCCTGATATGGTACTTGTCCTAATATGGCAGTGTGTCCTCCGGTTATACGGCCTTGAGGTGAACCACTGCAAGCCAATATGACTGCTAATAGACATAAACTGCGGATGCAAGTCTTCATTTCGCTATAATAAACTTAACTGAACGAATTGAGAAAAATTTCCCTATTTTTATATACAATCATGGTATGCTTGTGAATGCGATAGCATGTATTGTCAAAATAATAATAGATAATATATAAACATTTTTGTTTTTGCTTTTGTCAATCTTATCAAAAGAATAAGTAATCAATTGATAAGTAATAAAAGTAAGAACTTTACCCTAATAAAAAGGATTTACTTTGATTCACTTTCTTTTAAGTACACCTACAACTAACTTACTTGCAGGTGGCAACATGATATCTAATAGATTAAATCTTAACAGTTTTATCAATAAAGCATATAACATAAGCTATCGAAACGAGTTAAAGACAAAGTATTAAAAAAGCAGTTTCAACTGGAAAATTCTAGTATCTTAGTTTATAGTGAAGTACCCAGATTTGTTATCATTACACCGGATTTAATTTTGAAATTATATTAAATAAATATTGAGTGGTGATAATGGTATCTAATAAATTGTTTCATTTATACTATAGACGCTACTGAACTTAAACCACGTTTTAACTATATCAACGCCAAATCTGTCCTCTCTTATGGATTAAATGCACTCGCACAATAAGACGTGGCTGTGCGTCGTTGTGAATGTTGTCACCCAGGTAGGAGAAAGTATTGGCATTCTGAGTTTGTGAGAGTTAAAGTAGGGTTTTAGGTTTTTTGTGTTACCCGATATCAGGTAATGCTAAATCGCTTAGTTAATTATGCAATTGTGCATTTTCGTGTGCAAATAGGCGATATAGATTCATATCTGTGTGTTTGGTAACAAATTGGCGCCTATTTATAGATTAATTAATTCTTCTGATAATTGTTTATTTAGCCGAAATTATAGCCCAGTGTAATGGCAAAAAAACATTGCTACGTGCTGGTTTGAAATGATTGCTTCTTTAATAACTGTGACTGCACTTGGTAAACCTTTTCATATCGCCGGACTTGACCTGTCTCTAGAGCTATCTAGATATCATTGCAAACGATGAATCCCTTGCAAAGTCAGCCAAAATAAGGTACAAGTTTACATCGCCAATTGTATGGTTTCGAAAAGTTTTTTGATATTGGTTCCACGGCGCTTAAAACGGGTAGCGTGATTCAAAGAAGAAGTGAAAAATCCTATTGGTCTATCTATAGATAGTAATTCTTTACCTTGATTATATACCTTAATACCTTTTTAAAGGAAACTGTTGGGAATATTGCGTTCAATTAAGAAATATATTTTTTAATTTTTCAAATTTTTTTTAATTCTAATTACTATATAAAGGTATACACATTAAACCATTGCTTGAGAAGTATAAGACCATAGGAACAGTTTCACACACCAAATTCGGCGCTCGATTGAAAGATTCAATTGCATCGCGTAACTTAAACTGAAAGATAGAAAATTGAACCGTTTTTTTTTTTTGCCACGAACAGCTGATCACCTGCTTTGTGGTTGTTGGAATTTATCGCAAGACTGTTGAACGTGTTGCAGATTTTTTTATTTCTTTTGTTTATGGGTGCATTGCTCCGAGTGAAGCCACAACGCGTCTTACTTGACTGATTTGCTACGGTTTTCACGGGCAGCTTAGATTCAGTCACGTTTTTTCAAGCGGTTGATTTTGATTGATTCGTCACAAAACAAAGCTTTAAGTATATTTTTTTTCTTTCAGTTTTATTTTTATTTGATAAATGAACTATATCTGCTTATAGACCAATGGACCTTAACTTATATTTCTTCAAATACTTTGAAACTTCACAGCAAATGTGCAATGCCAAGGTGTCAGTCCTTGTGTCTTTGAATATTTAAAATCAAAAAAAAAATAAATAAATAATAAATGTATGTTATAAGTGATTTGGACCACTTGTTGTGCATATTTTGTTTAATTGTTATAAAAATATTTAAGATATTAAAATAAACACACAATCTCCTTAATTTAAGCCCTACTCGTATAATATAATAATAATAAAGAGTAATTTATTGCTCACACTTTCATATGATTATATCTAAAATATTAGTAGCTTTCCTTAAACTTTGCAGAGTTCACATTAACAGCACATGATGATACTACGAAAGACTCTATCTCTAATATTCCTCCTGTACATCTGCCATTGCTTGGCACAAACTATCAATGAATTGGAGGATGGGACACTGCCAGAGCCAAGAGCATATGTACCCGATTCACAATATTTAGATTTTGCTTATCATGATCATGATGATCTTACAAGATTCTTAAGGTAAATGAAAATAAATTCTTCATTTTTCCATTTATATTAATTATCTAGTTTTATTTTAATTAAATTATTATTTTCAGAGCGACAAGTGCACGTTATCCAAATCTGACTGCTCTTTATTCAATCGGCAAGTCGACACAGGGACGTGAACTATGGGTTATGGTAGTCTCCTCTTCACCTTATGAACATATGATTGGTAAATAAACATGTGATATATTTACATTATGTATATATTTCTATATAATCGATGTTTTACTTTTTTTAAAAAATAGGTAAACCAGATGTTAAATATGTGGGTAACATACACGGGAATGAACCAGTGGGTCGTGAAATGTTGCTTCACTTAATACAGTATTTTGTTACAAGCTATCAGACAGATCAGTATGTTAAATGGCTATTGGATAATACACGGATACACATACTTCCTTCTTTGAATCCAGATGGATATGCGGTATCCAAAGAAGGTGCTTGTGATGGCGGCCAAGGCAGGTAAGCACAAATTGATACATAATTTTTCATCTTAGTAAAATTAAGTTACATTTGCTAAACTTCATAAAGGTTTTTTTTTATTTTAATATAATACTTGGTTGTTCTGTTTTTTTCCAATCAGATATAACGCTCGTGGATATGACTTAAATCGCAATTTTCCGGATTATTTTAAACAGAACAACAAACGAGGACAGCCTGAAACAGATGCGGTGAAAGATTGGATATCGAAAATTCAATTTGTACTCAGCGGTAGTTTACATGGTGGGGCCTTAGTTGCTAGTTATCCATATGATAACACGCCAAATTCTAGTAAGTATTTTTTAAAGTCTTTCAATATAGTCATTTTAATCCACTATTAACTATTGAAGACAATATAGTGAAAGTATATTTTATCTTTAGTAACATAGAGTATTATTAGTTTATTCTTAAATGGAAATTTATAACTACGGTATTTGTATATATTTTATTTTTTCTATTACCTTCAGTTCTTGCTGCTATAATTTTTTTACAAGCGATTCCATAAAAATTTATTATATTTTTAAGAAAAGCTCTCTCATTCCAATTTTTATATCTATACTTTGAAAAAATTATTATATTCATTGAATTATTTCCGATATATAAAGTTATGAACCATTTCTTATTTTAACAAAAATATGGCTGCTGAAAGGAATTTGCAGATCCTCAGCATTATGTGCGAGTGAGTAAATAGATTTGTTAGAGTAAACTCACTGAGAAAATTGTTTGTTATGCTGTCAATTTTTTTGAACGATTTTTTTAAATTTAATTTAAAAAAAAGATTGTAAAATTATAAACTTTTTTTATATTTTTTCAACAACATGTCCTTTGGGCGCAGTGTTTCAAACCTATGCGTCAGCACCGTCTTTAACTCCAGACGATGATGTCTTTAAGCATTTATCCCTGGTGTATGCGAAAAATCATGCCAAAATGTCCAGAGGTGTGGCATGTAAATCAGCTACGCCTGCTTTTGAGAACGGTATAACTAATGGTGCCGCTTGGTATCCTTTGACTGGTGGCATGCAGGACTACAACTATGTATGGTATGGGTGTATGGAAGTGACCTTGGAAATATCTTGTTGCAAATATCCACCAGCATTTGAATTGAAAAAATACTGGGAAGACAATCAATTGGTGAGTAACAAAAATTAGCATATGATATACGAGTGTTAATACAAAATACAATTCCAGTCACTGATTAAATTTCTGGCGGAGGCACATCGTGGCGTGCAAGGTTTTGTAGTGGATACAGCTGGCAAACCAATTGAACGAGCTTCATTAAAAGTCAAGGGACGAGATGTAGGTTTCCAAACTACAAAATATGGTGAATTTTGGAGAATTTTGTTACCAGGTTATTATAAAGTTGAGGTTAGTTGATCATACCAAAAATATTGAAATAAGATTGCCAAACTCACTGTAATAATCGTGTAGGTATTTGCGGATGGTTATGCACCTCGTGAAGTGGAGTTTGTGATTGTGGAGCAACATCCCACATTGCTGAATGTCACTTTACAACCCTCCAAAGTAAGTTTTCGATTATATATACTTTTTTTGACGATTGAAAAAGTTTTCGTTAGGCGGAATTTGGAAAGTAAAAACACTTATGTAGCTCTTAACATTAATTATTTAAATTATTTTTTCACCTATTTGAATTTTTCCTATTTCAAAAACTGTTTTGCGTTGTAATTTCAGAAATTTCCATCGTTTTCCACGACAACTATTTCAACAACTAAAAAAAGTGTAGCTAATAAAATAATATTTCCTAATAATTAGCTATGGAATTAACTATTTGTAATATTCTAAATTAATGTAAAATTATTTGTTGATCAAATTAAATTTTAAATTAGAAAATTAAATAAGAAAACACAGACTTTCTTCAAATTTCTACATTTTTTTCAAATTAAATTCTTTTTTAATAATTTGTAAAAATGTATTAATTATTTTGTAATATTTCACTTAACAATTTTTTTAAACTGCCTCAAACGATTGGAGGGAGACATTAGTTTTGTAGTGATTCGTAAGTACAAAAAAAAAAAATTGGTAATTTAATTGAATTCTAAACCACTTCAAATAGTTCACATGAAATTTATTTTTTTCTGTATTTATTACTTTGTTGATCAAATTTTCAAATTTATTCATAAAATTAAAAGATAGCAAAATAATACAATAGAAATAATTAAATCGACTACCCACAATAATTAATTATGCATTTTTACTATATAAAATTTGTTTAAAATAAAACAAATTAAAGGTCGTGTTTAAAATTTTTTTAATGCATTATTATTATTTATTTTATTTATATAAATTTATTAAAAATAATTTAAAATTATTGTTTCTATACGAAATCGATGGATTATAGCTTGCGCTCTAACGCGTTATACATAAGTGAATAATTTGATGTTAAGTAAATGTCGAACATTTACATAAATCAAAAGTAAATATTTCTAAATAAAAATTGAGTTGATTTCAAACTTTCGCTATCTACAATTAATTTGTCATTAACATTTCATTTCACTAAAAAGACTCACTACCTTTTAAATAGGCGGGCACTTATTCGTACGAACCTTTTTTGATAAGCACATAAAGTTTTTATTTTTTTTATATTTTTTTTATATTGAAAGCAAACTAAACAAACAATGGATTTTATTTAATACACACAGGAAGGAAGAAAAAATTAAATAATTTTATAATTTTCAGACATATAGCAAGCCTAACCCTAATCGAACCTAACCTAGGAGTAGTAAACGTAGTTAAATAGGCGCATTAACAAAATATACTCAAGTATATATTACAATATACATACTACTATAAATATATATATATATTACTTTTATGTATTATATATATTATATGATGTGTATATTATATATGTAATATATTATATATGTAATATAATATATATATAATATATTATATATTATAAAAGTTTAATATCTTGTTTGTTAAGATTTGGTTTGTTAGTAAACCTGTTGTGACAGAAGTCTATATAAAGGTGGTCTCTTCGGAAATTATTATAATATAGTAAATATTTTTTTACTAGAGTATCAATTATAGAAACTAAATAATAGAAATTATTTTAACAGAATTTTTAATACAACGCACACAGGAATTTCTATACACCTATTTTAAAACGTACTTTTTTAACTGTGTCAGGGAGGAAAAAACAAACAATTTCAGTAAGAAGAAGAAGAATTAATTCTTGAAATTGAAAAATTCCGGCATTAATTATTCTTGTAGTGGTGCACTAACCAATCAATATTTTTTAAAACAAGCTATAGTTTTAAGCACATATCATTAAAATAATTAATGCAATTTAATTTTTTAATCATTATACACCTAAAAATCACTGCATACATTTAGGCTGTGCTGTAATTATAGTAGCACTAAACAAACACATTTAAATAATATTAAATATAATATTTAAAAAATATATCCATTTATATGTTTTTATATACATATATAACTAAATCATAGCATTAATTAAATTTTTTTTTTTAGCGCACAGACACAACATCAATACCGTTCTACCGGCCTCTACCATCGCCACAACATTTCCGGCCTCCACCACCCTATGCAGACAATGGAATATTCTCAACCATTAGCAATGGTCTTAATAGTTTGTACACGAACATATTTGGCTAATATGCGATCTACTAATCCGAGGAATTATTAAATTTAAAAATTTCATTTGTATTATTAACATCCTTCATTATAATTGCGCTATTTTACATTTAGGGGTTATCAAAATATCGCTTTAGGATTTTAACTATTAATAAAACGCACTTTTGTTAAATTGTACTAATTTTCACTTAGTCCAGTAATGAAAATTATTAGATTATATCACTTATATAGCTAAGTTTATCACATAGATATGATAGATATCACTTATATAGCTAAATATATCACATAGATATATCAGATAGATATCAAAAATGGACTCTCAACTTCCCGAATACGACTTTTTGACAACTGATTCTAGTAAAGACAGATTTTAGGAAGTCAATATAACTTTCTCAGTTATAAGTTAAGTTACTAAGCCAATGTAACTTAGTTATCCAGATATCGATATTTAAAGTTGGAATTTTTTATATAAAAAACCACAACAACAAATATTGCATACATTAGACAATACTACACATTATGTGTAGTTTTTATTAGTACAAACATTTTAAAAAGTGGGTAACTTTAAGCCTTAATATCTTGAGAACTAAGAAAGAAATGTAATACAGCTATAAATTTGTATTTCAACCATATATTAACGTGGTTACGATATTGAAAATCTTCACACTCTTCAATTATTGTATTAATTACATATAATAATAAAAACTTGTGTTACATATCACAATGTATGATTTGGATATAAAGAATTATTTAGATTTAATATCTTAAAGCGGTATTTTGATAACCAGGCACGTTGTCTCAAAACTTATGTTATAGTTAATTAAAATTCTGGAAAAAATTGTCACTGCCTTTTATCACAATCGAAACATTGATTTAAGATCAAAATTAATCAACATTTAAATTCTATCTGAAAAGGCGTATTTGATGAGACAATAATTTCTCAAAAAATTTATGTTTGTATTAACATTACATTACTTTATGAATTGTAGTTAAAATAGTTAGTTGTAAGTTGTTTCACAAATTATATTTAAAATCTGAAATCATATACATGTTTTGTTTAACAAAATAAAATTAATTTATTTATTAATAAAATAAGAAATTTTAATTTTCAAAATTTTTAATTATACGGTAATATAATGGACCTATAGGTCCAATGGGATCCCTTGGGATCACCGGCATAACCTAACCTAACTTAATTTTTAAAATTTACTAAAACAATACATTTAGTTGATCCAACAGTATAATATATTGTCGTATTAGCAACAGAAATTTAGACAGTAATTTTAGAGAATTGAAATTTTGTAATACTCAGCCTACACAAATCGGAACTCCAACTGATTACTAATTTCTTAACTAAAGAGAGGTTTGAAGAACGGTAACAGCTGTATTTTAATTGCTCGACTCCTGTTATTGTCAGGAAAGAGATTTATCTGGCTTGCTTTGGTAAGTTAATTTAGTCATCAGCGTTAATTTAGCAGGTTGGCTAAGGGGAATTTCTCCAGAGATTACACAATATATCTAGAACAGTCTAACAAGCCTACCAGAAGTCAATGAGATAAAATAATAAAAAGTATATAATATTTGATTATTTATAATATATATTTTCTGATAATTACTGATAATTGCCAAAATTATTTCTTTATAAATACTAATTACTAATTAAAAATAAAAATATTATATATTTAAACATTGAACTGAATTTATATATATATAAATTTATATTTTTATGATTTATATGAACTTATACATATAAACTTTATATATATTGTATAATGTATATAGCTTTACTTAAAAAAAGTGACGTCTAGCATCAATAAATTGGCCGTTAAAGAATTATCATAAAAATTCAATTTCGGTAAGCATTGCTTGTCACTTGATAGACACGTGGCAGAATTTAATTGAAGGCAATTAAGAGGGAAATTATATAACTATCTCACATCGGAAAGAAAAGTCATTGTCATTCAGTCTTGAATCGTAGAAGAAATATTTGCGCACAACATATGGACAAAATTATTTAACTCGTATTATTAAATCGTTGTTAATTGAATTATTTCGAGTTTAATATTAAATCCTAATAATTGAATTGTGATTACAAATGAATGATTATATATCTTGGATATTTATTTTCGATTTATTTTATAATTTGCATGTTTATGAAATAAATTATAGAAAATCCTTATAGGTAAGTCGTGTTCAAATTTAACTATGAGATATGAACTTTTAGTTGTATTAATTAATATATTTTTTATTAATTTACAATATTAATGGTTAAAAATTATCTTTAGAATAAGAAATATTATAATTCTGAATTAAAATATGTCAAACTGGAATTTAGAAGTGACAGTTTTTGTGTTTGTTAAAAGCATATTAAAGTATCCATAGTTGAAGTACACGACTTCTCAATGATTTCATTTTGAGTATATAGAAGTTAATAAAATCATAAAGACCAAAATCATATCACATTTATTAAGAATATAGTAGGCTACAATAATCCCACACAGAACCATTAAAAACCCAACAAAAATTAAATCTGATATGAATTTTATTATCCTTGCTATTTTCGCAAAATATTAAAAATCTAAACTCCGAAAATATATTTAAAGTATTTTAAGAAAAAGTCAAGGACCTGAGTTCCAAACTATTCATATATCTTTATTTTATTAAAACAAGATGAGTATTAATTATATTAATTTAATTTATATTAATTTAAAACTTCATTTATATATTTTAACTTCAACATAAACATCCCTTGTCAAGTAACCTGTTACCATTAGGCTTTCAAGTCAGCCACTCAGAGCTGCATATACACAAACTTTAAATTCTACTTCATCTAATTTTGCGCTATATTATATACAAAAATTTAATTATAGTGCATTATATGCTTGACTTCATTATTATAAACATTTGATTCTGTCGAAAACAAGTTAATTCAAATTCAATCATTTCGATAATAATTGTTACTTTATATTCTAAATTATTGTTTATATTATTGAATGAATATTGAAGACTTATAGCAGTTATAGTGGTTTATATTTAAATTCAAAACATTTTATATTTTATATATATTCTATATTTTTCACACAATTATTACACTCTCTATTTATATCACAATAGGCTTGTTTCACGAATTGCTCGTAGTAACTTTATGTCTGTTCCACGAACTGCTCGTACTAAACGTCAAGTAAAACGCAAGTGATGTACAAACTGAGAGCGTAACACAAATAAAGTGCCAAATTACGCTCTTTATACGAATTTTCATCGAACAGCTTTGTGTAAAATCTGCTGAGAACACCAGAGCCGCGCAAATAAACAATACGAAAAATTAAATTCAAACCAAAACAGCTGATTGAAACATTAAAACAAATTTTACTTGAAATAATATGACTAGTACATAGTCTCTGTAGCATTTTCAAATTTCGACAGGGATGTTACGCTCTCTCAGATGCTCTCATTTACTCGAAAATTTGCTGGTGGAACGCAGTTGTGTATAAACAGTGTTACTCAAAGTTACTACAAGTAACTCGTCGAATAGACCTAATATAAATAACAAATATTTTCCATACATAACACAACTAATCATATTTTAATTTATCTTTGATTGTTTTTTTCTTATAATTATATATGTATGTTCAAGTGTATTCATTATGCAATTTATAATTGAATATATTTTATAATTTTAATTTATAATTTTTATAATTTTAATAATTTTTTTAAATTTTAATTTTATAATTTCAAAGTAAATTTAAGCTCGTTTTCTCTAAACATTCCAATTTGTCACAAATAAACAGAAAAGTCTATTGTTGAGTTATTTTCTTTTTTCTTAAATAATTTCAAATTACTTTCTACAAACGAAAATTCATTATTTATCTTCAGAACACAACATATGTGCATAAAAACAGGTGTTGTGTTTACAATTCCACCCTTTCTAAGTCATAAAACAAAACTAACCCTTAAACAAATATTTACTTACTCAAGCATAATAAATAGTTTATTATTAGTTTTTGAACGCTCAACAGAGAAGTTCTTATTTTTATATCATTCGTATTTTAAATGTATTAAAATAACTTATAAAAAAATAACGCAATATACACTGCAAATAAAATACATACCGTGTTTATTCCATTTATATGTCAAAATGATAACGTTTACAAATGTCAAAAGTACGGTGTGCACACAGCCTAATATAGTTTATCTGTGTTTGAAATTTTGCAGCGCAAAGGTAATAATAAATCAACTCTGTTGAAATTACTCACAAAATTACTGCAAGGAATTTGAATCGTAGTTATCGGTGATATTTTGAAGGAAAAAGTTGAAGTAAAGGATTTAGAATTTTTTGTGTCTCAAAGTTACTTCAAACAAAATTTATTTTAGTGGATTATTTTTTTTATTGGCCATAATATTTAAATTAAAACTGTAACGGCCGCAAATAAAAACTTTAGTTTCGGTTTTGTTCTAAAAAACTTCAAAAAATGAGTGAATTCAATAGCAAACGCTATTACGGGTATTCCATGGGCAATGACAATGGTTTAACCACTACGACGCGTAATTTCGAATTCCAGGTTTGTAATTCTTTAATATTTTATTTAGTTTGGTTTCTAATATTTATATTTACAAATATGTAAAAATCTTTAGCACACCCGTGCGGAATACTTGGATCGCGCCATACAAAAATTGCAGAAACCTGAATTACAAAAGAAAAAAATGTTTTTGATGGAAAAATTTTCGAAGTTACGTAATCCAGATGATATTCAAAATCAAATACGTGACATAGATGTCGATACTACCTGCAGTAATACTCGCGTTCGCAGTTTAAGTGCAAATGAAGTTGATAATTTAATTGAAAAAGTTAAAAGCTCAATGGTTGTTCCTCACAAGGAAAGTGCCAAACAAAAAGATACGAATGTTGTGCAGAGTCCAAGCAAATTTCCTAAGGTGGAAGAAAAAAGATGTAACTTGCATATAAAATGCAAGCACCGTGTAAACCTGGAAAATAAGGAAGCTATGAAAAAAATTGGACACGTTGCGATTTCTGAGTATCGTTACCCGAAACCAAAGTGGGTAGAAATTGAGGAAGCGATTAAAGGTACTGCTCATTATGCTGATCTGAAGCAGGTCGAAAGTCTACAATCTACTATTGATATATCCGATACTGAAATGGATATAGAAACACAAGAAAATCCATCTAATGATGTATCTCCAAGTTGCTTATCACCTCAAAGTAACTCACTGGAGTCGATGAGAGATAATACCGCACTCAACATGGCAGATTGTCATGTTTATGATGTTGATTGCAACGCTGATATTGAGGTTGATGAAGAAATCGAAGTAATTGATTCGGATTTGGAATATGAATTGATACAACGTCCTGACTATACTAAATTTTGCTCCCCTCGCCCCAGACCAGAAGATCTTGATAAGCAGCCTTTTGAAAACTTGTTACCACCACAATTTATACGCATTGAAGTAGGTTATATTGAAATACGAGTTACGAGTGTACAACTTAACATATTTAATTAACTTTCTAATTTCGCGTTTAGCCTGAGATACCGGCAATGGGCTTAAGTTTCCTCAAGAATATTGCACCAATGCGTTACACTGAATTAACTGATGATACACAACCAGATGAATGCGACGAACCGCCACAAGTAATCCTTAAACTTTTTTCCTCACCTTTTAAAATTCCTTTCTTATTTCCAAAACATTTTCCTTATTCCACATTACAGATGAAAGTTTTCATTAAACACCGTAACAACAGCGAGGAGAAATTGCGTGTAAGTGTTGACGACGAAAAGCAGGTAGAAGAAAATATATCGGAAGATACGAGAGAGGTTCAAAAAGTCAAGCATGTAGAAGAGGCTACAAAAAGTAAAATTAATCCGCGCACTAAGTATACTAAATTCAGCACAAATACTGCAAAACCTAATGTAGCTCCTAACAACACTGCACCACGTGTTCAACCTAAACCTACTTACGTGCCCCAACGTGCACAAACTGTTAATAAGCAGCCAATTGAAGCCCCCAAGGAACAAAAAATTAAACCCAACAAACTTAAAAAACTCAAAAAACTGATTCTTACCAGATCAATTGAAGAACTTAAAATTGAAAAGGGCCATATCTTCACAAAGATGACAAATACACAAGAACGTATAATTGAAATGTTGGATAAGCTGAAGTGAGTTATTAGTTCAGGGTTTGTTGTACTTATATACCAAATTATATTTATCCACAGGTTATGTCTTGTCGAAATATATGCACCAACTGGTCTCGAAAAACATAAAAAACAAAAAAGTGCTTTCGAGTTTGCAGTGCGATTTTCACGTAATTTTTTGTTGCCGTTAAAGGGCATGGTACGAAAAGACATAAAAAATCTATTTTTTTGTACTTAAATAATATATATTTCATGATTTAGATACAAGACCTTCGAACTGTTACATTAGAGCAACTCAATAGCGCTGTAACGAATGAAGCGACTTCGAGAATTTTGGGTATTTATTCGCTTTTGTATCAGGCTTTGCAAACGTATTCGAAACAGATTCGCTATTTTTTAATGGATTCTTTACCGCAAAAGCTACTTCAGCTAATTGACTACATACATACAGTCACTAACATATGTCTTGATAAGGGTATTTTCGATCCTAACGATGCTATTATAGATTGCCTTAAGGATCGCTGTACAAAATTCGCTACTTTTATTTGTGATTTGCACACTGAGCGTTTTACACAAAAACATAAAAGTTCTAAGGTAGATTTAAAATCGCAAAACGTCTTCATTTATAACTATATATATTATATTATATTATTTAGGCCAATCATGCCAATTATGATTTGAAAATGTTTATGAATGACTTGAATATGTACGAGCCAATCCTTGTTCCAAAAAATGTTAAATATCGTCCACGTCGCCAGATGAACCAACGCAAACTCGTGGTAAGTATTATTATATATATACATTATCATTTATAATAAATTTATAGTACGTATATGTATATAAATTTATTTGCATATCGCTTCAAAAATAACACTGGATTTAACTATATATATTTATTGTTTTAAAAGCATGGTTTCTATACAGTTATAAGCCTAAATATTATAATTTACATATATCCATTTTTGTTAAATAACATTAGCAGATAATGATAAATAGTTCCATTTTCACTATATTTTCACTAAAGTAAATTTTTACTTTATAAATTTAAATACTCTATACATATCTATTGAAATATGTAATTTACTTGAAAGCTTCTGTATTTAACATATAAATCTTTATTAAAGGCTTCACATTCGTCTACAAGTTTGAGAAAACAATCTATGGACCCCATTCCGGTACCTCCTGCTGGTCCCTCTTCAACCGAGGATACATCAATACTCGTTCAAGAGAGATATGTTGATACTATTGTTAGAACTGGAATTGAAGATGTTCATGACAGCAATAGCTCAGTAAGTGATTTTAGTTTAATTAACTTTCATATGTTTTCTTAACATTATCATCTATTTTTTACTAGATTAACTTAGTTCATACATTAGAGTCATTTTTAACTGTACCTGAGAAGAACCCAGTAAACAAGCAAGAATTGAGCAAAGTTATCATGGATGCATTACAAACAGTAACAAAAGATCAAGTACGCCAAGCATTAGACTCTATACTTGACTCGCTGGGTTCTGCCTTAGAAACAAAGGTAAGTTTTGTTGTATATAGATGAAAACATTTTGTTAGACTAAGATGTGTTTTTCTACGTTATATTCTGTTAAGTTATACGTAGGTACGTTAGGTAGGTAGGTTAGAAGAAAAATATAACACAGATAACACAAATATAAAAATTAAAGTGTAGTTATCCTTGTAAGATGAATATAAAAATTGCTCAAATTGCCAATGCGACTAATAACTGAGAAGTTTCAGTGTTTCAGTTTCATTCGTAAATTCTTCCACAAGAATTTTGAATCGTAAAAATCAGCCATATTTTATTGATGTACTAAATTTTAGCAGGGTCGAACAGACATCGATGACTCCGAACGTTTTGGTTGCAGAAGTGTGAATATTGCTATAAGGACTCTGTTAGCAGAGTTGATACCGAGTTTGTTTATCTTCGATTAAGATTATCAATATATTAATCAATGTATCAATGTTGAGCGTTACTTTGAATATTTAAACACAATAATAAAGATTGATTTCTGTAATTTCATCCATTCTCTATATCGTTACACTACAAAGCAACTAAACATTGTCCGGAAAAGCTATAATATATTTATTTTGAAAAAAACGCTGTATTAGATTAATTGGATTATCTGTAAATGAGAAAAACAATACATGGCAAATATTAACAAATATAGTGTTATTGTTGCATTTTAAAAAACGAGATCACAGGATCATTAATTGATGATGATTTTAATTCCCCATTCCAAAATTTTTCGAGATCTGGCCCCTTTCAAGTACTTTCTTTTCGTAATCATAAAAATAATGATCCGAAGAAAAAGATGTGACTTGTATGAGGAACCAATCACATCTTTTTTTTGAAGGTCTCAATAAGTCACTATATAAGAAAGATAAGATTATATAAGGACATATTTGAAAACTGATAGAATAATTGTGTTGAAGAAGAATGTATAGTCAGTCAAGTCTTTCTCAAAATAATATATACATATATTTATGCCAGATTACAATATTTTCTTATGTTACATATATATATTTGGAAGAACTAGTATTTAAAGTAAAATTTAATTTGTAGATGAATGCAATGAACACTACAAGTTCGAAAACTGTCCCACGAGTGTTGAAACCCACTTTTACGACCGAAAAACTTCTTAAAACCATTGCAAAGCTGCATAAACAGAAACAAAATAAAGCAGAAACAAGAAGATTTCGATATTAGATTTTTAGATGATGAGGTTAGGTCTTTACAGTAAATATGTGCTATTCATACAAATTTGATGTCTGATTCATTAGTTTGGCTTCTTAACTAAAGTTTTATATAAACAACTCTAAACTTATTTATATATATAACATATTTATAAATTAAAATGTATTCTATATATATTATTGAAAAAAATCAAAGTCAATTGGACAAACTTATTAGAAAAACTTAAAATGAAAAAAGGGAACCTATACATCTGAATCTGGAGAAATCTTTTATCTTATATTGAAATATGAGTGATTGAATTTTGATAAAAAAGTTTGCAACGCAAAACTCACTTATTAAATTGTAAATCCCACAAGGTTCACCATAAAACCTTCAACCATGGTTTGAATCAAGCTTAGAAAAAGTAAATCGGAAGAATCGAAACTGACACCTTATAGATTGAAATATCTATGCAGAAGTTTAGAACATCAGATATACATATTTTAAGAAATGTACAATATTTTGTTTACTACAAAAAGTTTAATATGAAATCAAAAGTTCTAAACTTAAATATACGGACCGTTATCACTATTTCTTTTATTTGCTATATAAAACATAAAAAGTTATATATAAATAATATCGTATATAGTTTATAAAAATGAATATAAGTCTGTCTAATTATCTGTATCTATCTGTATTTATCTGTAAACTTTATTAAAATATTGTTTAAGTGCCTATAATGTTTACAAAAACTAGAGTTTTTCTTTTACGGTTGAAACTAAGGCACATAACCCATGAGGTTTATTTAAGTGCTGGTATAAACCTCTACAGATGTTAAGAGACTTATAAATATAAGGCTTTTAATGGTTTCTTAAAGAATATGTACGTTTTCAGTAGCTTTATGGAAAACGAAACATCAATATATTTAAGAATTATAAAAATGCTATTGTAAAGCATTTTCACTTTACTTGGATTTATAAGAGTGATATTGTAAAATATTTCAAGCATTATAAAATTTGTCAAAGTGCTGGTGTGAATCATTTTTTTTAAAACTAATTAGAAAAATTGCGACATATCATAAATGCACTTATTGGCCTTTCAAGGCTTTTAGAAGACCAGGGAAACTCGTTTTATTTAATGCCTTTTATATAATCTGTCTGTAAGAAGTGAGTCCACTGTATTCGGTAGTGTGTTCAGATTTCTAACGATCTATTGAACCTGAAAAATCTCCATTTTAAGATGTCTAATGTATTTCGGAAACTTATAAATCGTATAAGATAATTTTAATTGTTAAGATAGGTAACAAATAACTAACATGTAACGTATAACATAAGTCCTTACTTTGTATCACTAAACGCATGCGTCTGGGCATTAGTGGATAGATAGAATATGGCTACCCTTTAAAGAAGGGTCTGCTGGCTACTAAACTATAGAGTGTGAAAACGTTTAGAAATTTATTGTGTCGTATTACAGTTCGAGTTTTTCGAGTCAATTCTGTCAAACTATGATCAAAAATAAAGACAAATATGTAATTATCGACAATAAGCTATTTATTTAATTTGAAAAGAAAGCACCTGGATCTGCGTTAACACCCATCGTTAGTTTGTTGCCTAACTAAGGAAAAGAAAGGAATTACCCTTTCTTTAAATTGTAAGAAAAATACACCTATTTTCTTTTAGGTTATTTTTCAAAACGTTCCTCATTTCACAAGTTTCCACAAAATCATTAATGCAGTACCTGTATAGAGCTAATGACAAAAATTAGCTCTGGGGTTATAGTTATTCCTTTATGCTAGAAGTTATTTCAATTTTTGCGATACGGCAGTTCCTTGAGCCTATATAAGATTTAGTGTAATAAGTGAATGGGGGGGAACATAATAAGTGTTTAAATGAGTTCAATTATTTAGGGTTTAAATCTATATTACACTGCAATTTGTTATTACTAAGTATATACAATATTTAAAACAAACACAATCCAATTCTTTGAGGTATATTTAATAATTAATAAAATATAATATTAATTAATAACAATAAATTGATTTGTTCGAAAAGTTGAATTAAATTATTTGTAGCATATGCATTCCTAAATATTTATATATATTATATTACATTATATTATTATTTAATTATTTTAAATTGTGGGTATATTATTGTTAATAATACCAGTAAAAAAACATTATTATTTATATATAGTTTATAAATATAACAATACACTTTAAGTGAATAAAACTCCATTTTACGGTTTAACAGATTTAACAGGGAAATTTGTATTTATTAACAATTTTACAATAAATTTTATTAATTTATAAAAATAAATGTTTTTGTAAATCAATAAAAGTTAAAAATAAAATCGAATAAGAATTTTGTAGAGTTGTTTGTAGTAATTTGTAGTAATTTGTAGTAATTTGTAGTAATTTAAGTAATTTGTTTGAAATGTAAAATAGTAATTAATTCTGGGAATGTAACTAGTGTTATTCTTTGTAGTTTAAGGTAAGTTGTTATTGGTGGATAGACTATTCGAAATATTTGCTTATAGTGTTTTACCGAAGCTATTATTGTAATATTGGGTTTCCTATAAAATTTGTAGTAAAATTTAGTTAAAAAAATATACAAAAATTTGCGTTATAAATATTTTTTTTGTTTGGTGCTTTTGTGTTTTTTAAATTTCTAGTGTAGTTGAAAGGTTTTCCTAGAGATGTCGACCTTCACTAAGACGTTTGTTTTCCATAGATGTTATGTTGGTAGGTTGACGTGCAATTGATATTTGCATTAATAGTTTTTGTTAGTAAATGGACCTTCAGTGAAATGTTTTTGTCCATAGATGTTGCTTATGTTGGTAATTTTGCGCGAGTTTTTGTTGTTGGTTTTTATTTGGAAGCAATAGTTCTCATCTTTTTTTTTTACTCGCTATATTTGCTTCGTTACACATACATATGTTGACTTCTTGTTAAAGGTGTTATAGGCGCTTGTTTGCGATATAAGAGAGGCTTATTTCAGGTGTTATTGGCGCTTATTTACGATATAAGAGGGACCTACTTCGGGTGCTAGTGTTGTCATTGATTGTTAATGACTGTTTGGTGCTAAGTTTAAGCAGAACAATCAGTACAAACCGGTTTATTTTCCTCTACAGCAAAAGTACTTGCTGTGATGGGATTTAAACACTTCTAGAAATGAAAGATCAAGTAATTATGTTAGTAAAGTCAGTGTTATAAGATATATGTATATATGTCCTCACCTTGCACTTAAAACAATTGCGATGCCACTTAGCACTCAAAGCCACAATCGCATTTTCTGTTATTGGTTTGCTACAACCAGCACATCTAGCAGCAAACAGTTCCTCAAAGTCTGGCTTACAATAGGCTTGGCCGTCACGTTCATAAAATGATGTACCCACTAATGGTTTCTTGCAAGGACCACCGCAGACAAAGCAGTTTTCGTGCCATGTTTGACCAAGTGCCTTAATTGTACGCTGAAAGCATAAAAATAATAAAATAAATAAATTTTAATAATAGATTTCTTTTTTAATATTTGAAACTCGGTAAGAATATGATCTTAAAGTATTAATAAACCGTCTAGAATAAAAGTGGTCTTAGCAAATTGTGATACTTCATTTCAAAATGGAGTATCTGAATAGATTTCATGATTTCAGAAATATAGTATAGGGGTATTATTGCAATACCTCTAAGAGAGTTTAATAATAAAAGTTATACAGTTATAATAAATTATTATTATCCATCAATGAATTCGTCTTGTCTGATTAATAGAGTATATTTAGCTAACATTTTCTATAATTCATATATCTTATCTATCGGAAAGTAAAATGGAAATATATTTTTATACACATAAAGGAAGGCGCGGACCTTCAAGCTGTTAGAAAGTAGAACTATTGTTTCTTTTAAATAATTTTTTAACAAAATTACAATTACATTTTCACTTCCTAAACATAGTATATATATGTATATGTTGATCCTTTTTTTCGAATTAGCGCAACTAGGCACTTTTACTTTTTGATAGCTGGGGGTACTACAGGGTCCCACCCATCTTATTGACTAATTTATGTATTGCCGATACGCTTCATGATTATTTAGTGATTGATCTAAGATCTGCATACCTCCCCGTGCGGAAAGTGAATACTCTAAGATTTGATAGTATATGTATCCTTTTAAAGTGGGAGTTCATTATATTAGAAATTTCTGTCTTTTTTCACACTCAACTCTAATTATCTTAAATTATACATATAAAATAAAAAAAATTGAAATTATAGATAAACTTTTAAAAAAGTTCATTTATAATTTCATTTACACGTTTCATATAATTTGCTAATAATGAAACATCTGCTTCAAATTTATTTCCCGTACAAAAGTAGCATTTCTATACGAAAATGACTCATCTCAAAATAAATAGAAACTTAAATTAAATAATATTTAATTATTGTATTGTAAATTGAAAAAAAAAAGTTATCGACAGGGCAAGTAAACAAAATAATTTGCTGAAATATTTTTTGCAAATACAGGCAAATAAAAATAAAAGACATAAAAAACATTTTAAATTTGCAAATAATTAATTTTGTTTATATTTTTATTTATTTCACTTGTGTGTATTTAAGTGAAAATTGAGTGGAGCGGTGTGAAATGGTAATTGCTTATATTCTAGTCATCCGCATCCTCCTCCTCCGCCCACTACTAGAATTGTTTTGGGGAATTCTACACACCACTTTGCTGGTTGGTCATCAGATCGCTCATACCAGTGGCATGACCGATCTCCAGGCCAGTCCATTTAAAGCATTGAACAATGGTTTGGTCGGCACGTTCTTGGAAGTTATTTAAAATTTGGGAATGTGAGCAAAAAAAGAACAGTGGCGGACTTTGAATTCAGTTTGAAACAAAATTTGTTTACAAGTGGCGCGACGAAGGACATTGAAATTTCTGTAAAGATTTTAATAGTACACATCACAAAAGTTCAATAATATTAAACCACTTGCTTTACTAAGCAGTAATCCAACTTTTATATATATGTTACTTCACTATTTTTGAAAAATACAATACATATAAAAAATCAACAACTCAAGGCCCTGAGTTAATGGCATTTACTTCAATATGAACTATGATAAGTGCAAAACAATTGTTGCAATCGATTTATAATGCTGAATTATTTATGATGTATTATTTATGATTATATTTGCATTTTGTATTGCACGTTTTAAATAAGATATGGCAGAGATCCTTGGTAATTTTTAATTAACAGCAGACGTAACTGCTTTATATATAGAATGAAATCAAGATATATGTACACATATATATTATATCTTTCTGATAGACTTAGTATATCATTAGAAGTGTAGTAAGCAAAGAACTGTGTTGGCATAAAAGCATTATTCGATTCAAATTTAATCTGGATCTTTCATTTAGTAGCTGTACCATTTATTGAAGTTATTTTTAAAATAATAAAAGAGATTTATAACGAAAAATTAATACCCGTGTTGGGATATTGTCATTAGACAATACACCGTAGACATAAGTCGATAACTATGCAGGACTGTGACGAAGCTCCAGTTAGCAAATAACTGGAGGTTTGGACACACACACAAATTTAGGTTTATATATGTAAAGTTGATTTGGATCCTTTATTCAGTAGATATAATATCAAAGACATTAAATTAGAGATATAAATCTCTAGTCTTTTTTTATGATAAAAAAGTTAGAATGTTCCATAAATATAAATATACAAAATAGAGTAATGATTATCATTTCTATACTAAAAAGAAAACAATCATAATATTTTGAAATAAATTAAGTTTTATTCATTCTTGAATTGATTTCTGAAGGAACGAAGAAATTTCTATGCTTACACTAACTGAATGTCAACAAAATAAGTAACACAAAGAATAGTTAAATCCAGAAGAACACTTTCCATTTTCAAATCCATCTACCAATAATGGAATTTTTAAAAATGTATTTGTTCCCCTATAAATTATATTCTAGACTAACTTTGAATTCGCTTCTGTTGCTTCCACAAGAATTTATGCATTCAACAGTTGAGTACGTCAAATACGTCATCATGCAAATATTTAATAAAATTCTTAAATAACAGCAATATTTGCCATTGCTATCGCATTTACTTGCAGTCGTCGGTTTCACTCTCAGCGTCAGCCTCAGTCTCAGCGACAGCAACACGGACGGTCGACGCTTTGCTGACTGCTTTCCGACTTGCCCGTTGGGATGGAGACGTTACTTAACGACTTGAGCTGACACATGCTTGACAGCGCGTGCGAACGCTGGCCGTGTTAGTTACTTTGACTTGACAAATATGGGAGTGTGGGCGTATAAATTATACAAAAATAAATGTCATTTATCGGTCGGATCATAGCTTAGGTTTAACATGATTTCGAAAATGAGATTACTTAGACAAAAATAAGTTAATATATGAAAATATATATATATACTGAAAAACTGTCAACGATAGCATTTTACAGAAAAGTCTTGCTCAAAGTAATAATACTGAGTTAATTTGTTAGGATTTTAAATTGAAATTTACTACTTTGCTCTTTAAAATTAATAAAAAAAGAAGTAATATTAATGAAATAATATCTAATAATATGTATAACTTAATAAACATTAACCTACCAATAAACACCAACTATTAAAAGAAATTGGAATATTTATATTAATACATCGATCTGTAAAAGCTTAGGTCTAATTATTTAATATAATATTTTAAAAACGCTGGAGTTTTTCAAAATTAAATATATAATATTAGCAATTAGTGGAAAGATAAAAAATTACTATACATTATCATCAGATCTGGTTTTATTTAGTTTATTTTTAAACTATTTTCGGAATCTTACATTCCCTTTTCTCTTCCAACCTCATTTACATAATCGTTTTCATTTAGTATGGAAGTATAGGTGTACCTTAAATTCGTCTCTGACAGATCTCCATAGTCCTGTATCCTCATCTAGTGGGTTTTTCCGAGAGCCTCTAAATTACAGACGACATTATCAATCCAAAATTAGTTTAGTTCTTAGCTTGTGACTGTAAGAATTGTAGTTTATTATTATCCATTTGGATTATATGACTTTCCTTACTTAATTGTTGTACATTTATGAATTTAACAATATCTTTTCCAGAAGATCTAGAATTTCGTTGTTTAGTTAGCGACTACTTTCTTCGTATTATTTTTTATTAAAATCGTCTTGTTGTGTTGCTCTTATTTCATTCTCTGTCATCTTTCCAAAACCTGACTCGCGAAGTTTTTTTATTGATTTAGCTTTGCATTTACGATTTCAATTTTCCATGAGAAAACTTGATTCATATAGTCATATATATATTTTAATATATTCTTTTGACTAGTGTCGTTTATTTTTCTATACAATATTTCAAGTTTTGTCGTTTTTTCATAAACACACCTTAATATTTAAAACAAAAAATGTCTTCGGAGGTGTTTTTGCCTATTGTGATGCTATCTGTATACTATCTGAATTCGATGTGATTAGTTTCAGATATTTGATTTTTCGTGCATTATTTTACACAATAATAGAAAAACATATCAAAGGTATTTGATGCTTTGAGAATAAGACTAAAGACCAATAATAAAAATTATAGGTAATTAGGGGTTTATTCAGTTTATTCAGTTTTGATTGGTACCACATGTAACCGCCGTATTATTAAAAAGTTCAAAATATTTAATATTATTAGAAAATACTAAAAATATATATAGTTGTATATATCTCATATATTATAATGTTTACCAATACTTTTTGGTATATGTGATTTAAAGTTGTTTCTCATCAAACCAAAACTTGAATTACATAAAAAACATAACTTAAGGTGCTACACAAAACATTTAATGTTAAGTGGTGAAATAATTTTTTTTTTATTTTGAAAATAAAACGAGAGTAAAACAAAAATTAAACAACAAAATTTGTTAAAATACATCTTGAAAAAAAACCCACACTTTCATCTAAAAACTTTTTAAATAGTTCAAAAAAGTATCTCACTCTAAGCAATGAAAGTACTACACATATAGAAAAAGAAAAGTGGAAAAAAAATCATCTCAAAAATAAAGCGGTGCAGACAAGTGACCGTGCCGCTATGAGCGAAGCTTCACCGAATTAAATTAAGAAAAATTAACAACTAAAAATTAAGAAACCGAAACGCACACAACACCTACAAACGCCAAGTAAAATTAAAGATGACGCACCGGACCGGGCTAGATTGAAGACCAACAGTCTGGGAATAACGCATTGAAATTAGATACCGCCAACCGTACGCGAATACAGCATTTGCCTGGCACACTACTCCATACAATCCGCTGAAACAATTAGAATCATCAATTCAAGTCCAAACGAATCAAATTAAATCAATCATTTCAAATAATTTACAAATGAAAAAGAAAAAAAGAAAAAGTAGAAAAATAAGAAAAAATAGAAAAATATAGAAATAATAGAAAAAATAGAAAAATATAGATATAGATACAAATATAAACAATCATAAAATCGTTAAATAAAACAGAAATGAGTGGAATGGAAATGTTGGCACATAAAGTTTAATAATAAAAATGTACGCATTTTCGTTTACATCTCCGGCTAGGGCCTTGGTTGCCAATTATGGACTTAGGTCATATACTCGTACACTGTCTGACAGCCTAAAGACCAGCAATGAGTCTCGCTAATGATGAATACTAAATTGTGTTGTCATTATTTTAGATTTGGAAATAATTTGCGGGGGTTGACACACACAAATTTGCTTAAAACATACATATTGTTATAATTTGTATATATAATATTAAAAACTAAACAATCCTTAACGAATTTCATATACTCTACACTAAAGATTCGATTTGTAAATGTAGAAATTTATGAACTTGTCATAACCATCTTCAAAAATTGTCATTTTTCTTGAAAATCCTCCTAACACCTTATTGAAAAGCAATATAGTTCTATTAGTTATAGAGCAGTCGATGAAGAGGACACGTACTCTAAATACATGAGAACAAAAACGCAATAAAAATAGTTTTTTTTTGACGAAGAAGTTGATGCCACACTTCTACAAATGTATAATTAATAAATCACCTTCCTTGTGGAAGGTCAAGAAGTCAAGCACATGTGGTATGAAGATGTATCTCAACATAGGCTAAATTGGTTTTCAAATAAAGACGACGTGATAGATAGACATGTTGTGCTATAGAGTGCTATAGAGCACGAATGTTATATTTGAGTAAACAATTTCTGCCTTGTAACATTTATTTTATCCTATTTGAGACACATTTTTACCAACTGTTTTCCTACAAAATTTCTTTATCATATATTCAAAAAAAAAAATTTAAAAAATAAATTTTATTCCCTTTAAAAAAATCCAAACCACACAAATATAAGAAGTGCTTAAGAACTTTTCATTGAAGTACTTATAGATTTAGATGTGACCTCTCTATATTATAAAAAACATAATCGAACCTAAAAACCTAAGGGTATAAGTCAGGGCCCACAACTTATACAATAACTAACTATTCTTTCCAACTCCCGTGAAAGAATTTTTATTCTCTCTCAACATTCTACAAGAATCGAGACCACTTTGATGTTAAGAAGTAAGTCCATTCTAATATATCACAACTAAGAAATAAAGGTAATCCAAAGGTATTGGATTGTCATTATTGTGTCATTAACTATCAAATTAATTTGTCACAAACCCGGATATTAATTCAGTGTTGGAACAAGAATAGATACAATATGTATTCTCTACATATTCCAAAGATTTCGTGTACCGCATTCCATATTCCACCAACCTAGTTCATCTCATGTTGTAACTACCCACATTTTCACACAAAAAAAACTGAAGATGTTTAGTTTTTAACTGTTTTGACAAAAGCGCACGAAAATAGTAGGTAGCGATTATTTTTGAAGCTTGTTTTTTAATTTTTTTTATATATGGTACATACTTAATTGACCAAATGATTTATATTTGCAAATTCTTTCAAAAGAATATAAATTTTAAAGCTGACTAACATTTTTTTGAATTTCTAATATTCCACATGTAGTTATTTTGACTTATTTTTTTTTAAATTGAATATTAACTAAATATCTATCAAACAATGACGAATTAACACCTCTTTTTTAAGTGTAATCATTTTTTATTTGATAAAACTCTTAAAAGTAAATATGGTGTTTACTATCACCAATAGTATTATATCAATCAAAATAGTAGTACTTTGTTTGTACCGTTTATCGGTCCAAAACTTTTCCACCATATGAGACTGATACTCTTGTAGATCTTACTTCATATTTTTGACTGATTTGATGACGACTTGATTTGACCCGGTTTACAATGTCATATTATACTTTTCAATCTTAGTTAGCAGTATCACGGATGACCCACTCTATGTTTAGTTTGAAAAACACTACAGAAATCCAAAAGGCCGATCCAAACTTGTGTTGAAGAATATATATATGGATCGATTAACTATTATTTTCTTAAGATTTGTGGGAACGAAGTAGAAACCAGCAGAAGAAGAGGGTGACCACGAAAACGACGGAAAGACAGTGTGCAGCAGGACTTAGAAGAAATGAACATAAGAAACGAAAAACAAAAGCAAAAAACAGAAGAATAGAAGACTGTCCTACATGGACTGTATAGTCATGGATGATGATGAAGATGAACTATTATTTCCCAGTACAGATTTTTAACACAGGTTAGATTTTTGTGTCCATTGTCGTAGTGAAATCTTCTCTAGTTCTCTAGATAGCTCTCTTGATAGAACCAGAAAAAGGTTCAGAATTATATAAAGTGTCTTTATGGGTGTAATTCTTATGCGAACTGTATGAAAATAGTAGCCAATCTTTTGACTTTGTCTATCGATTTAAAAAGGATATTTTTGTCTAGAGCATAGACAAGTGAATCGTGATATACTAATAAAACTCATTATTTATGGGTTCATTTGAGAATGAAACAAAAAATATGTATGCGCTGAATTGCTGTCAAAGTCTTTAGTATTTTTATATTTTAAATACACATAAAAAAGTCTCTTATCTCACTGTCCTCATTTTGTCGTATTCGCTGCATTTTAGCACGAATTCATCTTCATTAAAAGCAATTAATGTCAAAAAATAAATATGAACCCAATTAATATCAGCAGTATTAGTCATTATAATAAAATTCAATTCAGCAAATGGAAAAATATTGTACAAAAAAGAAAAAGTAAATGGAATTATAATAAACCCCACCCTACTGCTTTCAATAAATAAATAGCTAGGTGCATAACCTTTGCTTAACATATAATGGGCACTTACCTCTAGAATCGGTTGTTTACATCCAAAACAAGTGCCTGAGTAGTTCTTTAGGAAACATTTCGCGCACACAGGTTCACCATCTTGAATGTTAAAGGTAGCCTCCTCAATTGGAGAGTCGCAATCCTTGCAGGCAAAGTGCTCAGGATGCCATGTTTTGCCTAAGGCTGTGATGATGCGCTGTGTGATGACTTCATTGCACTTGTGACAGACTGCGTCAGACTGCAAATAAATTAAAACAATTAACTTTATAATTAAAAAGCAAAAAATAAGTTGCATACGAATTAATATTATTCAATGGAAAATAAAACAAAAAACCTTAAAAATTTATTTAAATTCAAAAGCTGTTAATCTTACTTCATTTCAGAAACAATAATACAGTAAAGAACAACAATAAACACAAATGAAATTATTAATAAAAAGCACGTTTAACTGATTATTTGTTGCGATAAAATTATAATTTATTAATTGAAAATATTTAATCATTATAAATTGAACTTTTTTTTTTATTTCTGAAGTAGCGCAACAAGTTCTTTCTGTGACCACGACAAGTTGTCGCATTAAAATGCTTCCAACGGCAAGTGATTTGCACGAATTGTGTCGAATTGTCAATTTACCCAGCCATTTTTAGACTCCAAAGGTCTCACTTATTTTGGCTCGTGCCCCTCTCATTATGCATTTTAATAATTTTAATATATCGCCACTAATATAATATACTCGTAATATATAAACTTCAATTGCAATTTTCAGATAACTTGAATAGGTGTGACATCAGTGTCAAAAAATTTAGGTGTTTTATGTCCCAAAAAGGTTTCAGTTCCCAATACAGAATAATGGAGTTATTATTTTTTTTATTTTTGAAATGGTGCCTTTTATCTACATATTATGGTATATAAAACGTTTCTGTTTTAAGTAACTGAATGTATTATTAATATTTTTTATTTGTGGATTGAAGAAAAAGTATTCGGCGATTTAACGTCAAAATTGAAAACATTTTTTAGATTTTAAAAACAATTTATGAATCGAAATATTGCCCATCTTTAGTGTAGAGCCAATATATATTTATTGTAGAATTCTTAATAAATGTCAAGAGTAGTTTTCACAGTCCATTTTTACGTGTACGCTGTAAAGCGAGTGTTACAGTATAATGTCACAACTATATGGTCAAAGCATTCAAAATCCCAAATCAAACTCACTCAATTTTGATCGGGTCATGTAATAAAATGAGGCTACACATTTGAGGCTCTGTTGGTACAAAATATAATGGCTTTCCTCTTAATCAATTCCGGTTCTCAGTCTAATGATTAGCTTTAACATTAATAGCTGCTAGCAATGCAAATTAAAATCTAATATATCGTTCGACGATAGTTGCAATCTAATCAGACACATTACTTTTAGATTTATCCATTTGAATAATTTGAATAATAACACCAAAAATATACTGATCAGTTATTAATTGAAGACCATATTTTAGTATCGTACGTCGCTTGCTGATGCTGAATGATTTGACAGCTGTCCTAAGGATTTGGCTAACCATCGAGTTTTTGAATTATGGATTGTACATTTAACATGTTTATATACTTAGCTGATTTGACAATGAAAATTGTCGCTTATGGGTCACTGAAAATCCACAAATATTTGTCAAAAAAAAACAATTACATCCACAGTCATTCTATGATGTGGCATCTGATATGTAGGTAGGATAGGATCGTACTTTTTTAAAAATGGTAATTGTGTGACACAAACTACCAATCGTGTTTGCTACAGCTACGTGAATACAAATTTTTTGTGGTATGAAGATATAGAGATGGAAAATATGTCATTCAATAAGACGGTAGTTGTTTTGAAAAATTTCTCTAATATATAACCTCAGATTTTTGGGATGCGAAGGGACCACAGAAATCATTTGATTGTTTCTATAGCATTGTTTTTAGGATCATATGTATGCGTAGAAACAATAAATTCTGAACTCTTTGAGAATGAACATCTATCAAGTTATGACCGGGCTATTGTTAGCTTTATGGCGACAAATGATCGAAAATGACCTCAAAAAAATCCAGTTTTCTCTTGCTTTCATGCTGTCCTCATTTAAATGATGTTATAATTCACACCTCTTGGCAAAGTCCAAATAATATATTGAAATAAGTTTGATCGAAATGTCAATTCAAAGTGTATTCTGTTTACGTTTACTTTCGGAAGCACAAAATGGATAACGCTGTATATTCTTATACTAGTATATATTACATTTTATCACTTCGTTTTTTTCTACTATTTCAATTATTAAATAGTTTAATAATACCCATGTGTTTTTAATAATTGAATCGTTAAAACTCAATTACGGAAATCCGTTGTCATAAAATATAATTCTAAGTTCTTTTGATTTAAAAAATAGTTTTTTTCATATTTACAAATTAATTTACTACCAAAGTAAGTCATCAGCAAAGTAAATTGAAATATACAAAAATTGACTTTAATGTAAACTGAAAGCTCAAAAGGTTCTTATCAAAGTAAACAATTGTGGCGTTCCATTAATGACTTCACTTAGCACACATTCATTCTGTGTTTGCGATATTTACGCTCATGCCCTGCCATTGCGAGTATTTTTAAGCATTGGAGGAGTCCCCATTATATTCACATTTTGTTGTCAATTAAAATTAACTTATCTGTACACATACAACGCACTAAAGATATAATTTGCAAAGCAAAAAAATAATAATACAAACTGCCAAATGCTTATCATTTGCTGATGGCTTTACACTTAATTGCACAACACTTGAAAGTGACACATAATTGTCGGCGGACCCATAGAGAAGTGCTATTCATATTATAAATAGACATGCAGGAAGAGCAGGGCAGGAGCTAGAAATTCTTGAAATATTTGTATTGCATTTCATTTCCATCGTTTCTATAGAACTAATCAAGGTCAGCAGATTTCTTTTGGTTAATATAGAAAATGGTAAAAATACAACTCTTTATAAATGTCTATATATCTCCCGACATTATTTGTAAAATGGATTTGCTTCATGCTTTATGATCTTTACTAAGACGACTAAAATTTCCATATTAAAAATCAAATAAATTTTTTCAGTAGTGCATTGGCGGTTGTTTTTCGTTTTTGTTTTCGACCTTACCTACTATTCGAGTATTTATTTTTCTAATATAAATACTTTAACTTAAGTTAAAGTAGTAAATTATTATATAAACAAAAACTGTGGTTAAACATTATATGTTCAATAAATATTAGATAACGACCACAACCGGTTACCACAAACAATTCCCACACACATACCTAACAACACTCGGTATGAGTAAAAGATTATTGATTTAACAAACCGTGAAATAAATAACAGTAGAAAAAAGTTTCGTTGGAAAAACATATTTTTTAGATTATAAATTACTAGCACTAGCAGAGCTAGAGGTGCTCAGATGTGGTGAGTGAGTGTACCCAAACTGTTAGGAGCCTTTACAAAACTTTAAATAGTACAAAAACACATCTTTCCTAATTAGGAATCATAAGATTACAAAAATTTAATTTGTCAGTGTTTATTACACATTGAAAGAGTCATCGAAGAATCTATAAAGTATGTAGTTTCCATTACCAGAATATGATCCTTTTCTTTCTTGCTGCAATAGTTCGTGAAGAACATATCCTGTTGCAAGATAACCTCTCAATCTTGCCAATTTTTCACTTTTTTCTGTATGTTATATATTCATAGAGTAGCCATACGTTTCTTTGATAAGTTGTTGGTTGGACCCATTTTATTCGCTAGTTCTTTAAATATGATTGCATGATGTTACAAATCGATCACAGCGTCTATTTATCCGACAGTTTTTAGCCCAAAAAGTATTTAATAAAGTTTTGTTCATAAAATATTGCCTAAAGTTCAGCAGATTAATATTATAATTGACTTACAAATTCAACAATCGATAGTTAGTCATTCCCATATATTTATATATATATTATCGGTTTTCATAATAGTAATTTGGATTTTTAGTGACGAAAAATACATATCTATTTAGGTGAAAACACTTTTCTATACTGAATGCGAAGTATATAATTTCAACATTATTAAAATTTTGTTTATGTTTTATAGAAGGTCACAACAACCCATCGGCAATGTTTGGGTTTAAATCTCTTTTTAAATGCCTCTAACTCGAGTTAGGGTTTGCTGAACTCAATCACTCCATCCGAGACACAACCTATCATTACATCATTTTTTGAGTGTTGTTTTAAATACTGTTTTTGTTGGATCATTCTCTTCCATTTCTATGATACATATAACCTATCGAATAATGCTGATGTTGGATGGTATGGATCATATGTTCATATTTTATATAGGTGCGATAATGATCGGTAATATGCTTGGAATTAAACACTGAACGTTGAAGAATAAGTTTTATTAGTCGATATAAAGCAATTATTGGCAATAATAATTCTTTCTTACATGTTCTAAACTAACATCGTTGTCACTGCGTTTTAACTATGATAAATACTGTCAGGTTTTTAGTAGTCTGCAACAAACCGCATCTCAGACATAATTTTAGTATATTGTAAAATAAAGAATGGTATTTTAGGTTCGTTATTGCATATCACTATTTAAAATTCAAACTGATATATCATAGTTCCATTATCAGCATTATCTGTACTTATTTTTTATTTCTTCAACCCCTCGTGGAGCGTACAGACGTCACTAGTCCAATGCTATTGGAGGTCATTCCACGTTAGTGTGTGGTAGCAACTTCAGTGTCTATAGTCTCTTAAATGTTGTTCTATTGAAAGCTTTACGATAGATGGAAGCCGTTCCATGTATAGTTTGTGGCGGCTAATTCGATGTCGAAGTCTCTTTCATGTTTTTGATGTCTTGTCTGACGATATAAGTCTAGAGATATATGCGTAAAATGATTCTTTTTTGTTTTGCTTTGTGCAAAATTCTACTTTACTAATGTATCAATCATATTCCTTACGGTAGACACCACATTTACCGTAAGGCAGTTATTTGTGTGTCTAATCCGTCGTTCAAAATGGGATTAACTCCAAAAGTCAAAATTTTAAGCTAATTTGAAGCTTAAAAAATCTACATTAAAGCAAGTTTGATATTCAACAAACATGTTAGGCAAACTCTAAAAAAAAATTAAAAACAAATAAAAAATTATCACGATTTTAATATTTCAGAAAAAAAAGAAAAAATTAAAAATGCAAATAATATATCTTTATAAATGGGTAAAAAGATATAATACGCGAATTAATGTACCCATTGACACTTACAGCAAAACAAGATGTCAATGATGAATGACAATAAAAACTTCAATAAATGAAACCTTATACGAATGCGTCTGTCTGCCAAACTAAAATCACAAATTTTTTATTGAATATCGGTTGGTATCGACAGATTCTCATTTGCATACTCAGTTACGGATAAGAGTGCGGATACGGATACGCACAATAGGCTGCGATGTGGTGCCCCTCGTCTGCATTACGCAAATGAAAGCTTTGTACTACTTTTGCTAAGAAAAAATTTTAATACAGAAAAAAAAACAAAAACTTTGCAAACTGACTGACTTTATTGCATAGATACGAAAAGAATTTATGAATTCAGACCTCCTGCTTCCATTTTGGCGGTACTTCGTACTAGGTCATATCGCAGCACATACGAGTAAAGCAAAAAAAAAAATTATTAATTACACAATAGCAATGAAAATATTTAATGAATTGAAGCGAAATATAAAATGTTTATTAAATAAGAGTAGAATAAATATTTAATATTAAATTGCCAGACCCCGAAAACGTACTTTGCTGCGGTTATCGGCTGGTAATATATATAATAATAATATCAATTCTACTATTCGCACTCAGCATTCAGTGCTTTATTTCGGCATAGGAATGAGTATTTACTTTTATACTTTGCAATTAGTTTATTGTTAGAAGTTTTCATCGCGACTGCCGTGCGGCGGTTAGGTTAAGTTGCTTGGAAGCGCGTATATTCAGGCATACGGAAATATACGGAAATATACTTGTATGCACTCTTAGATCATCGACAAAGTTAGAATTAGAGATACAAATGCTTAGCTAAAAACTGAAAGCTGAAAACTGAAAAAATTAATAATAAAAAATTAATAGCAACGTAGAGCAGCGACCAAAAGAAGACTTAAAAAACAGTAACAAAAGTCATGGAAGAAGAAATTGTTTCCACGTTCTGTCTACTCGTAAAATACTCGTAAATTTCTATACGTGTATTATATTTATCATAAATCAAATGTTACTCAAAAGATAGATAATCGTATCGATAAGTTTAAATTAAAAAAATTAATCATAATAATGAAATTATGAAAATGTTTCACAAGGCGTAACAGTAGACAAGAAACCATGCCTCTGCAGCAGAAAGCAGAAAGATATATAGCTTGCGATATACTATAGATATGTTCGGTATGATATGATAGAGGCAGCAAAATGCGCAAAACTAAGGTCAGTTAAGGTGTGACAATTTATAAATTTTTTATTTATTTAAGAATACAATAAAAAAAAAATATTGACGCTTTCGAAATAATGAAAATAAAACACAATAAAATATTCCACGTATTTCCAATCTTACTCAAAACACTAAACTATCGTTTATCTTTTTCTAACTAAAAAAGACGAATCGAGTTTAGATTACTGAAAAAGTACTGAACAGGCATATTAGAGAAAATAAAGAAAATATCGTTAATAAGGAGTAGAAGTACTCTAGAGGGTTTTACGAAAATCTTCTTTGTCATTATAAGAAAGCATAGTTTTAAAGGGTAGAAGTACTTATAGAAATTCTTATTCGTATTTTTATTATATCATTACCAATGATTTTATTAATAAGGTTTGTCATTGAAACTAGATGGTTTAGTAGAGTTTATTAAGGAGAGATCGGTTAATTAGTCTCACAACGAATTCCAATTCTATCAATTTTTGTTTGCTCAATTCTATATTTCTAGCAACATTAAGTAATTTTCTTCAGACAAAGAGTGAGTTTTGTAGCTGACTTCCAATTTGAGGACTTGAAAGTGCAGGATGCGGTTATAAAGTTTTTCATTGAACCTAGATAGTTTACTAAAGTTTATTAAGAGGAAGAGTTTAATCTCTTAATAGCCTTTACAACGAAGAAAATTCTTCTAATAGTATTACAACGAGTTCCAAGGCATTCATAGTCCCAACACATTTTATATATGCTACGATTGAACATTTTTGTGGTTCTTTTCAGACAAAGACTTAATTGCTTAGGAGATTTTAATTTTAAGGAACTTGGAAAAACATGGCTTTAATGTGTGTTTACAAATTGGTAGATTACTAGACAGGTAGACTAATTAAGAAGAAGAGATAAATTTCTCATTGTTGTCACAATGGAACTAAAGCCTATGTGAGTTCTAAGACTTTGTATATTTGCGTAATTAAAGAGATTTTTGTGTCATTGAGTAGCTCGTTTCAGACAAAAAGTAAATCCCTTAAGAAATTTCTACGGCAAGATTAAAAGGTTTATCTTTGAAACTAAATGGTTTATTAGTGGTGATTAAAAAGTAGAGAAAAATCTTCTATTAGTATTACAACCGGTCACAAATCTATGACAATCACAACACTTTTCATGTTTGTGACCATTGATCCTGTCATTGACTGGATATATTCAGACAAGGAGTTTATCTGTTAAAAGATTTCTACTTCTAAGATTTGAGATAGCTGAGCACAGTTGTAAATATTGCCAGTAATACCAGATAGTTGGTTTTATCTTAATTTAAAAATTAGAATTAATTGGATCGTAAATTTTATATATTAATTATTTTTCTATACAAAATACAATTCAATTAAAAGGAATTATAAAATTTGAAAAATTATTTTCTAATAATTTAATCTCTAATATAGTTTATGTGTGCCAATCTTCTTAGTCATACTTTGCAGTTCTTTAATTAATACTTGAAGAATTTTCTTGATTGTTTAAATATTTTATATTAAAAAAAAACAAAAGCAAAAATTCGCTTATTCATTATTCATTTATGGAATACTGTATATATAACGTTTTATATATTATAAATGTATATATACAGGTATAATTTTTGATGATTATCCATTGGAGCGTATGAGTAACCAGAAATAATCTTGTAAAGTACATGTCATTCATACGTACCCGGTATCATAAATTTGCCACATATTTATCTCTACTGATAGAGCTTAATGCACAAAAATAATTCTAACCATAGCAAAATAAAAACAAATCGGCAGCAACAACTCACGCACTATGACGTCATATTTGGACTGAGTAGTTGAGCGCTACCGAAGTGGCCCACAAGAGAGCGTTAAGTTGAAGTTCTGCCTTATGTGCGATGATGCCATTAACTTTCCAAAAATACAAATTATGAAAACAAACAAAAAAACGCGTACATTTTATTGCCTTAGATAATTGATAATTAAATTTTTTAAATAAACATTAAAACAAAATAAAAGCAAAAGTAAAACATTTATTACTGAAACACGCGTTAAAATCAACAAAAATAAAAAACTACAAAAAAAATACTGAAGTGTAAAAAATTTTGTTCTGGAAAATCTATGGATAAATGGGTGGGGAAGCTGTCAGCCGCCAGTTTTCTTTGCAACGTACAATGATCTTTGCAAATTGTGTGCTGCAAAGATCACTTTTTAAAAACGAATAAAGAATTATTTTTATTTTTATTTAAATAATGTTTTTTTTTTAATTTTTGGAAGCTCATTGGCTTTAGTGAATTTTAATGGAACGGCGGAATTCTTAGAAATCTCTAGTGACTTAACTTTTTTATTAGCAACACGTACTAAAAACAACTACTAACAAATAAGCACTAAGAAATATAGAATATGCCAAGTAAAGCAGACAGATTATGCTAAGTAGTAGCTGCTAAATACAGCATTTGTTGGTAAACATTGGGTTGGAACTGATGTCACTTTACGGGGAGTGTTCATTACAAGTGCGAAGCAACTTGACAAAATGTCAGAAACTGCTGTCAACTTGATGCTTTTAATAACAGCAAAGCAAAAATAAAACATTTATTAAAAATATAGAACAAAAACTAATCAGACTACACCGAACCAACTATCCAACTACGCCTGAAATATTCCAATATTTGCGGGCCGTAGCAAAATAAAGCACAGTATATAATCTTCAAGTTTACCTTAAATAATAATAGTAAAAAAATTGTTAAATATATTATTTGTTGAAATTTTTAATGACTTTTATGTCAAAAATAATTTTTTTTTCGTAAATTTATTTCTATAATTTTAATAAAATAAAATACTGTAAGCCAAAATAGGGTATTCTGGGCACTGCAAATCCTGTGAACAATAATTAAGTAAGAACTTATATGTGTAATTCTTTTTTTTTTTATAAAAATTATGATAAAAAAACTTAAAAAATCAGAACCGCTGAACAGTCCAAATTTACATACATGCATAGGTGTCATCCCCATTGTATGCATTGAACTTATAAATCTTAAATATATATATCAAATGATAAACATTATAAACGAATTTACCACTTACCATATTGTTGATTGATGTTATATTATGCTATTCCAAAAGAAATCCAAGTAGTCCAAAATTGGTAGAATCGGTATTCACAAGAAACAAATTCGTGCAAAAAATGGATATTTCAAACTTTCAATTTATCGAAGGTTGCAGTTCACTATTATATTCTATACTTTTTGCACCCAAAACAAATTTACTATTTTACAATTTTTTAATTTATGTATATTTTTTACGGAGCTAAATTTTTGAAAAGTAATGGAGAAAACAAAATTTTAACATGAGAATATTACATATTTAGTTTGGTATATTGTTTTTTTTAATAAAATTTAAATTTTTTTCCAATTTCAGAGAAACTGTGATACAATTGAAACTATAGTGAATGCTTTGCATGTAAAGTTAGATGAAAGTGAATTAGATAATGATTTTAACGAGGACGAAGAAATGCCGAAGGAAATCGAACCGATAAGCAGCAAGGGTTAGTCTCTATCTATATTTACACTGAATCAAAACTACCCTACAATACCGTACCAACTACCCTGGTTTATTGAGTGTGGTCAAAGTATTATAAAGCATACACACTTGTGGATATGCCATAAACTTACTCAAATATTTATCAAAATAAGCTTTTTCTCCTTCTCCAGATACTCTCACATACATTTAATATTTTATGCAAAAGCTAAGTATACTTTGCCTCAAAATAACAACAAAAAATGCACAATAGAAAAATAGATGTGAGAAGCATAATGACATAATACAAGAGAAAAAGTCCAATGGTGATTTAATTTATAAAATAAATGGTTACCATATGACCCATAACCCCCATACTCCATTTTCATTTAGGCGACCTTCACTGAAGGCCATTGTAGATGTACAATTTCTATAATTTGCATAAACTTCAAGGATTGTTACATGTATCCATGACATAAATTTTACAGAGGCTCTAATTTCGTCCTTATTATAGACAATTATAGACAATTTATATTTAAAAATAGCTAGTATTTTAGTTTAAATAGCCAGTTTATGAATTAAGTGTTGACTTGAAAAAAAATATACTTTTTCATAGTTCTCTAAATGTACAAGTATATATATACAAAATCAGTCCCATACTTATTTTTATAAATTTTAAGTATATATACAGAAAATTAAAATAAAATAACATATGGGAGTTTCTTAAATATTTATTATTATGTTGAGGCTAGTTGAGTCAGTGCACTTGAGCACCCTTACTCTCTATTAACTACGAGGTTTCTTCAGAACCCCTCTCTACACCTTGACTGGATTATTGTTTATCACTTCATCAGATAATAATTGATCTTAGACCTGCATACCTTTTCGAGGAGCCTGTAACCATTCTGAGATTCGATAACGCAGTGTTGGTAAGCCTTCAGTGCTCTATCCTTTATGTATTTTTTGATCGGATCAATCTTGAGGTCCCTGAGGATGATTAAATATCTAGCTCCTTGTTATATTTATTCTGTTAACACTTTTACAAAACTAATCGGTCTAATTTAGAATATATCTTGGCTTTACACTAATCTTAATTTTAATGCAAGATACTTTCTATTTTCGTATCGTAATGTCCTATTCACTACTCAATCCTAACTATTAATCTAAGATAAAATAGCATAAATGTATATTTTTTAATAAACTTTAATATTTATAAATGTTAGTTAACAATGGCTTCTTGTTTTTAAATAAATTTTTCAATATTTACTTAAATTCCTAATATTATTATTATTGTTATCAATAGTTTCAATATATTCACATTAATGAAGAAGATTTTTTCTAGGGATAACACAGTAAATGTCAAATTTCGTGGTGTACGATTAGTTCTTCTTATAACAACTACAGTTTTTTTTTAATAAATTTTTTATATATCTTTTTATTTTATTTATAACGTTCACTTTCATTTATGAAAACTATCAGCTGTTTTTAAAATAAAATATATATTTTTTTAATTTATCCTGAATTATGTTTTTATCCCTTAGTTATGTTCTTAGCCGATAACGTATCGTGTTAAGTATAAAGCAAGGCACCGAGTCCTTGTGCTTGACCCAGTAATCCGAATTTTGTAAAAATTAGTTTATAATATTAAAAGTTAACACACAACACACAATTTCATACTTAAATATTTTTAATTGTTTTTAATATTTTCCATTGAATAACTTTTATCTATTCATAACCGTTGAGAGAAGGCAATTAAACTTTGCAACACCACAATTTGCCGGTCAAAAGCTTTAAAATTTTTTATAAATTCAAATGCAAAACAAAACACAACAAAATTAATTAACACGAAATTAACAAATTCACTTTAAAATATAATTTAATCAATTTTTTTTTCTTCTCTAATATATTCATATGTATATAACAACCTGAACAAACGAATTTGTTTACAATAATTAACGTTTCACCGACAGTATCAGTCCAAAGCACGTCTAAATCGTTAAAAGTCAGAAAGCATACTAAAGCACAGCTGCATCAAAAACAACCGCATGAGCCGAGTCCGTACGAAAATTGTTATGACGACAACCACATGTACGACTTCGACACTGTGTTGGGTATGCAAGAAAATATTGAGAAATTCGATATGGACGGAGTGAATGGCGTAGACGTGAACTTGCGGGATAGCATAAGCTTTGTAACAGAAGAATCGGAAGTCGCCGAGGAAAAACTCTATGATTCAGATGGTTCTCTCTCTACTCAGATGTTTCTGCAGCAAGAACAATGCAGCGACCTTGAATTAAGCGATACAGAACAGCAGCAAAATTTGGAGAAAAATAAGTACAACCGTAAGACTAAGAAACAAATGTTTACACAAATTCGTCGTAAACTCTCCGAACTGAAATTAGAAAAGCAGCAATTGCAGAGGGAACTACAAGAACGTGATCAGCAACTTGAGGAATACAAGAAACAGGCCGAACAATTTAAAAGAGAGCAGACTGCAACTACCAATACGCTCAAGACGCGACAATCTCAAGCGCAGATACATGAAAAGTATGCGTTTAAATACGATAAATCACACGGGCAGCTTAACCTAAAAAAATTAAAGTCTCCTGCTACGTCACAAACACAATTAGATAATAGTAATAGTAAAAGCGGTTCTAGTTACACTACAAATACTGTAAAACCTATAAGAACCAAAGCCAGTGTTAGTACTCGACCTTCAACAGCAGCGAAACAACAAGTTAAACGTCAATCCAAACTTAAAACAAAAAAGAAGCGTAACATATTTCTACCACCACCTCCTGCTCCAACTGTGACACCATGCACCTCAGCACGTTCAAACTCGGATCAAATGTCTATGTCAGAGAATATGATGATCAATGCAATAAACTCTCGCCATTCACCGCGCCGAAGGAGTAGTGATGTTAAATTAATTGAAAACATGCCAATAAAATATTATAATACAAAAAAATGTGTTAGTAATAATGATATAGACAAGGCATTGGACAAAAAGCTGTCAAACAGACGTAAAAGCCAAAATGTTGCTGTCACCAAATCGGGTCCTATACGTGTACCTTTTACGCATTCCTTCGGTTTCTCTCAAGCAAATCCGTCAAACAACATTTTAGAACGTTTCTCTCAAGTAAGACAGGCTAAGTATGATTTGAATGGTGTTGACAGCTCCACGCTTTTACCCAGCCACGTGGATGCAGTACCGGTTAAAAGTTTTATGGAACTACATAACAAGTAAGTTGTACATAATTAATTTGTGTATTAAAACTGCACATAATATAGTTATAAACCCCTATATATCATATAAAATTTTCGTTTAAAGTTTTTATCCATATTTACTACTTGTGTCATATGTCGACTTTTATAAAAAAATGTTTAAAAGTCGAATTTTTCATAAAATACTAATTACTTACTACCAATATCTTGAAAATCTCTACAATATAGAACTACCTCCTAAACGCCAAAATTTTAGATTTATTTTATTATTAAACGGGATTTTTTAATAATGGTTATTTGCAGTGGGTAATATTGAAAAGTATACGTGGTTTTTAGGATATTTTTAAACAAAAAGTTTCTTAATTGAAAATCAATTCCAATCAATTCTATTAGCTATAAGAATATATAAGACCTCCTGCCGTTTTTCGTGTAGCTTCATAAACGGTGTAGAACTTTTGTGGTTTAAGTGTCTTTATGCTGCACATTTTTTACCATTAGAATAGTTTTGAAAAGCCCGAAACAAATAGTAGTCAAATTGTTGAAGTCCCAACACCATCTAGTGACAGAAATATGGGGATGTATTTAAATATTACCCATATATACTATACTGACCGCATGAATATTTATAGTTTTAACGTTTCTATTTTCTTTAACAAAATTATAACAATTATTCCTCTGTCCTATGAAAAAAGACTTTAAAGTTTTCTAAATCTACATTTCAAAGAAAGACCTAACAATATTAAGTGCAATGAATATTAATGGATGATTTTGGTTGAAATTTTGGCTCAAATGTCTCCTATTTTTACTGTCACAAAGCTTGTCATATATTGTTTTTGTTGTTGTTAGGTTGAAAGTTGTGGCATATATTTATATAGGTGCTTGGATTGTGTTGCTAATATATAATGAAACATTGAGAATTGTAAGTATACTAAGATATTGACTTAACCAGTCGGTAACTGCTAGTCAGTTAGTAGTACTGTAAGACCTAATAATGACTGCTATTCCCAATTAACTAATTTTAAATATACAGTGTGCTGGGAAGAGTGTTCTGTGGTGGGAGCTCGTGACTTTGTCTGGTATCAGAAACTCGTTTACAACAGATAAACCAGTTTCTGTGCTAAAGAGTTTTCACACGAAAGGCTTTAAATCCCCTTTCCAAATTTTCTGTCCGTTGTTATCGTTATAGATAATTTATGGCTGCAAATCTTTCTGCAGCAAATCTTTTTGTCTATAGGAACCTAACACATTATGGTGTTTTAATGCTACACATTATGGTAGCATTAGTTCTCGGCATTATGATATGATTAATAGTTATCTTACCAAATTTTGTGGTTTTATATAAAATTGATTTTGTGATGGTAATGACTGCAGCAGTTCTCACAGACGCTGTTGTGATGTGAAAAGGACCTAGTTCGACTAACATATCGGCTTATAATTATGTTTTAAATATATATTTCAATAATCTTAATCATTTTAAAATAAAATTTAATGATTCTCCTTCCTTGTTTTTTTTTTCATCTGTCTAAACACCATTCTCAAATATGTTATAGTAAAATAACGCCAAGAATTTGTTCATTTTTCGTCTTATTTACTATGGCACAGATGTTACTAGTAAACAACTTGATTTAATAATTATATATACAAAAATATTCGAATTTGAATCAATAGAATATTTAGTTGATAACTATTTAAAGTTTAATTTAAATTAAAACATATTGGGCAAATACTAAATTGCTTGTTAGTTATATTTACTTTTACGACGGCAAATATAACAACGACCTTGTTATCGAAGAGTTCCTAGTTTGAAATATACCATAGTTAATATATTTCTAAAATTTCATATAAATAAACCGTACTAGTTTACCAGTAATTACAGCAGTTCGAATACTGTAAAGACCATATCAAAACACTTGATCGATCCAACTATGAATTTTAAATTCATTTGGGTCTTGGCTATATTGGCCATTATATCGCCACATTTGTTGTCCGCTCAGGACACCACAACTGTTGCTCCTGATACCACAACACCAGCTGCCACTACTGCGGCTACTGATACAACTACAGCAGCCACAGACACTACAGCTGCTACAGATACGACTACCGCGGCTACTGACTCAACTGCTGCTGGAGACACAACTGCTGCCCCAGGTGACACAACTGCTGCTGGAGATACAACAGCCGCTCCAGGTGATACAACTACTGCTGCTGGAGACACCACAACTGCTGCTGGCGATACAACAACTGCATCATCATCTGCAACTACAACCAAAAAATCTTCAAATACAACAAGAAAAACAACAAAGAGAGCAACCAGGAAACCACGTCGTCGACGTCGTTGTCAAGGTCGCAATAGGCGTCGTTGTAGACGTAGAAATCGCAGAGGTAAAATTAAAAAAACAACCTTTATTTTCACAAAATTTAAAACACATACAATTTAAAACAAAATTATAGGTAGACGCCCAAGAAGACGTCCAAGAAGACGCCCAAGACAAGGTTAATTGATAAACTAACCGGCTCTTCTATATATATTATATTATTCTTATGGTTTATATTACAGAAGTACACATACAATGTTGTTTTTGTTTGTTTAAAATAATAAATTTTTTGTTTTGAAAATCAATTTTCTTGTCAATTTTGATATACTCTTTCAAGACTTATAACAGCGTCATGAAGGAATGTTAGCAGATATTTCCTTTTATTGAAAGATAATATTTATTTATTCATCATTTAAATAGATATCTGCTCTCGACTATTTCCAAAAAACGTGTGCTTAGTTTTTTACTGTGCCTGCATCTTCATCGCCTATATCTAATAGTATAGTATATCTAATAGTATATATAATATTAATATCTAATGCTTTATTCGCAGCACCTATAAAATATCTTACTCGTTCCTTTGTTCTTAAATAGTTAAGATTAAGATTAATGGTAATCCTAATAAAATATGTAGGTTGAGTAGAACTAGCAATAGTTGTTATCATTATTAGTAGTAGTACTGCACAAGTTATACTGTAGTCAGCAGCAGCCAACGCCAGCTAAGCGTTCTAGTCTAAAGCACCTGCATTATTAAAACCGGCAATGACATATCAGTATTCATAACATTACTATTTAGTGTTGTTGTTGTTTCAAAAGTTGGGCTATTAGAAAGAGCTATAGTGTCAACAAGAATTAATTTGTTTGAAGGACTTGTGCTATTGGAAGCACCAATGTTAACTTTCAAGTGTATAATACATGCATTCAAATACTCAAATATTTAATATATATATGTTATATATAATATAAAAAGCGATTTTCTGATTTAAAAAAAAAAAATGGAAAAAGGGAGTTCCATATTGAATATCAACCGATACATAGGGTGCAACAGAAGACCCTTCTGATAAAATTTTAAGTTAAAACGCTTTTAGTAACATATATGTTACAAATATATTTGACAAAAGAATTTTCCAATTTCTGATGATGAATTTGCATGTCATCTGGAATTTTTGACATAAATTTGCAAATTATACATTTTTACTCACACGGTTTAACAAATCTAATGTTTAGGAAAATGATTTATTGCCTTATTTTTATAAGAAGAGCTTATAACATTATTATTAAGGGATTTGGAGTAAAAAATATAGAAAAAAAGATACATTTGTTATAAGCGATCTGTATATGTTATTGTAACTCTGGTTTCATTTAGTTATTTTATAAAGCATAGTTTCTTTTGCAATTATGTATCCAGTTTAGAAAGGATTTCGATTTAATTGTTTAATATTTAATATGATATGACTTTTTTAGTCACTATATGAATAAATTGGAGTATATTATTCAACACATTTCTTCATGACGATGTTATAAGTCTTGGAAGAGTATATCAAAATTGACAAGAAAATTGATTTTCAAAACAAAAAATTTATTCTTTTAAACAAACAAAAACAACATTGTATTTGTACTTCTGTAATATAAACCGTAAGGATAATATAATATATATAGAAGAGCCGGCCAGTTGATCAATTAACCTTGTCTTGGGCGTCTTCTTGGACGTCTTCTTGGGCGTCTACCTATAATTTTTTTTAAAATTATATATGTTTTAAATTTTGTGGAAATAAAGTCTTTTTTTAATTTTACCTCTGCGATTTCTACGTCTACAACGACGCCTATTGCGACCTTGACAACGACGTCGACGACGTGGTTTCCTGGTTGCTCTCTTTGTTGTTTTTCTTGTTGTATTTGAAGATTTTTTGGTTGTAGTTGCAGATGATGATGCAGTTGTTGTATCGCCAGCAGCAGTTGTGGTGTCTCCAGCAGCAGTAGTTGTATCACCTGGAGCGGCTGTTGTATCTCCAGCAGCAGTTGTGTCACCTGGGGCAGCAGTTGTGTCTCCAGCAGCAGTTGAGTCAGTAGCCGCGGTAGTCGTATCTGTAGCAGCTGTAGTGTCTGTGGCTGCTGTAGTTGTATCAGTAGCCGCAGTAGTGGCAGCTGGTGTTGTGGTATCAGGAGCAACAGTTGTGGTGTCCTGAGCGGACAACAAATGTGGCGATATAATGGCCAATATAGCCAAGACCCAAATGAATTTAAAATTCATAGTTGGATCGATCAAGTGTTTTGATATGCTCTTTACAGTATTCGAACTGCTATAGTTACTGGTAAGCTAGTACGGTTTATTTATATGAAATTTTAGAAATATATTAACTATATTTCAAACTAGGAACTCTTCGATAACAAGGTCGTTGTTAAATTTGCTGTAGTAAACGTAAATATAAATGTTAAACAATTTAATATTTGTCAAATATTTTAATTTAAGTTCAACTTAATAATTGAACAATTTTATAATCTGATATAAGTTTAGATTTGAGGCACAGATACAACACATATTGAATCAAGTCTTCAACTAGAAACATTTACAATAACAAATAGAAAAAAGAAGAATAAACAAGCACATATTTGCAAAGAGTATTTGTGCAGGTGAAAATAATTTACATCATTTGTAAATTTACAATTAAAATATTTAGAAATATCAAAAACAATTGAGACCATTTTTCACTAATGTAGTTATAAGTAGGTTATATAATATGTAAATATTACAATTAATCGAAGAAAAATTTTTAAGTTACTCCAAACCGATTTCGTATATATTGGTATTTATACAAATAGTTATTAAAAATTAATTATTATAACTTGTCAACTTATCTCTATTTAATACTTAACTTAATATCATGGACATTAGTAGTTCTGTTAAGAGGGGTTCAATAGCAACGATCTACCATTACTAAATTCAGACGCCACGCCGCCCTTTGATATTACGCTTCTAGTCTCCTTAACACATTCTGGTACGCTGGTATCTTACGTTGCATCGTCTGATACAATTTTATTTAATTGTTATTAGATTAAATTGAGACGACATGTTCTGATACAACTATTAACACTACGGCTCGTAGATCTCTATTACTCATTATGATGCCCTCAATGTTGTTTATGAGAGGCGAGTTATACTAACCTTTTCTCGTCGATACATAACTATCTCCCTTTATTAGATAACACTAAACAGATCCTGCAAAGTGAATTTTCAACAACTATACCAGGCCAGCGAAGAAACGATTTCCGAGGCAATGCAGTCGTTTCGCATATAGTCTTGGACTAATATAAAGTTAGTGATTGATAGACTTTATTTCTTCTGATAGTGGCAAATTTCCGCCAACATTGAAATATCAGTGCGATGGTACAATGGCTTCTTAGTACTTCAGTAAGTATACAAACTGTAGATTAGTATCAAAGCGAACCATAAAGATTTTTCACCTCACAGTCTTCGCGATTAGTCCACAAGTAATTTGTCAGCGTTATAGTTTATGCTTCAAAATATTTCAAACTTCGAGCTTCACAATGAAATGTCGGCTTCACTTAAGTCCATGTCAAAATCTCTTGTGACTATCTTCTCTGCTGCCTCGTTTCGTCTAATACTCCAATGTGCAAAAACCTAATAAAGAGAGACCTAGTGATGTTCAATGTCCCATCTTAGATTTCACTGTTTTATATTCGATTGCCTTAATACCAGCTTAATTACCTACATAGATGGTGACATCCCAAAGATGAACTCTACAAGCCGGGATTAGCCTGGTTGCTTTTTGATGACTTATATCTCGATCTAAAAGATGCTACAAGTGTCACGCAATCTTAATAACTGCATTAGCTGGATATCTCTGGAGTAGAGACCCGATCCTGTTCAACTTTCTGTTTTTGAGCCATATGTGCAGATAGTAACTCTAAGCCATGATGGTTCATTCTAATTTCATTGCCGAAAGTTGGCTATTTTCAAGATGCTAACCTCTTATAGTTTGGGAGCACTTTTTGCATAGCATTGAACAAACGCCCATAACTATAAGAGATAAAATAATATAATATTAAACAGCTGACTATTCTTTTGCTCTAAATGTGATAATGCTTTTCGTTGAGACCACAACTACTATAACACCTTTAAATAGAATAAAGAAGAGAGTTTGAGTAACACACATAATAAAATTATCTGCAGACACAGAAGACATAGAGGTTTAAGAAAATAAATTTTTTTTTTATTTCTTAAAAATGTAAAGTAAATTCCTTTATTGCAAAGAGTAATTTGAAGAGTAGTACCTTCTAATAAAATATAGACCATTACTTATGTGCTGTTTTTCCGTGCGATATATCAAACAATACCGTCATGCAACATTATGTGTTGAGTTTAAGGTTTGCTAATTAATAATAAAGATCGGGTAAAATTCGCTAAATATCTTGAAATTATAGAAATTCACTATAAAAAAGGGGATTTTGTAGTAAGGTACATTATATTTCAGTAGTAAGTTATTTACAAAGCGTCGCAGTGTAACGTGAAGTTAGATCTGAAGATGCGATAAGTACGTACTTCTTGGAAAATGATGATTTTGAAACATCAGTTTTTAATTCTGATCTTTATATCCAAATTTTCATGATATGGATATGAATATGAAGGATATGTAGCTTCAGCAATATGGTGCCATAAATCACATAACACATTTTACTTTTCATAGTTAACGTTTTAGAGATGTAAATTGGACATCAAAATCATGCGATTTTCTACCACTACACTTTTTTTTATTGAGGTTGTACAAATCATTGCTTTTATGAAGATTGATTTCAATGTCTCGAAGTTTTAGAAAAGAACATCCGTTAAAGTATTGCCGAGTTATTGCTTGATATGTGCCGACAAGTCATTGAATATTATCTTAAAAGGATACAGTGTTATAGGATATCTCGTGGAGCACATTTAAATTATGTTGTTTCTCACATCTAATATCAAGATCCAAACAACATATAGGAATAAAAATGTTACTTAAATATTAATCACGGGTTTGTTTGATTTACGCTTATATATATATATATATAATATATACCTACTTTCGAAGCACAAAATGGATAATGCCGTTGCTGTGACTAACGTAATAGATATTAAATTAGTAAGGAAAACACATGAGTAATTAAAAATATAAATCCAAGGGATTGATATTAAAAGGGTTTTCTCTAAAGGATTACATCAAGTGAAGACAGATATACATTTAGATGATTAAGCAAACTTTCAATAAGAAAACATATCTGCTAAAGTACTATCCATATTAGTATATTATTTAATAAATTGCTTTATGACTCTGTTATAAGTCTTGGAAGACTATATCAAAATTGACAAGAAAATTGATTTTCAAAACAAAAAATTTATTATATTAAACAAACAAAAACAATATTGTATTTGTACTTCTGTAATATAAACCGTAAGAATAATATAATATATATCGAAGAGCCGGCCAGTTGATCAATTAACCTTGTCTTGGGCGTCTTCTTGGACGTCTTCTTGGGCGTCTACCTATAATTTTGTTTTAAATTGTATGTGTTTTAAATTTTGTGAAAATAAAGGTTGTTTTTTTAATTTTACCTCTGCGATTTCTACGTCTACAACGACGCCTATTGCGACCTTGACAACGACGTCGACGACGTGGTTTCCTGGTTGCTCTCTTTGTTGTTTTTCTTGTTGTATTTGAAGATTTTTTGGTTGTAGTTGCAGATGATGATGCAGTTGTTGTATCGCCAGCAGCAGTTGTGGTGTCTCCAGCAGCAGTAGTTGTATCACCTGGAGCGGCTGTTGTATCTCCAGCAGCAGTTGTGTCACCTGGGGCAGCAGTTGTAGCTCCAGCAGCAGTTGTGTCAGTAGCCGCGGTAGTCGTATCTGTAGCAGCTGTAGTGGCTGTGGCTGCTGTAGTTGTATCAGTAGCCGCAGTAGTGGCAGCTGGTGTTGTGGTATCAGGAGCAACAGTTGTTGTGGCCTGACCGGACGACAAATGTGGCGATATAATGGCCAATATAGCCAAGACCCAAATGAATTTCAAATTCATAGTTGGATCAAGTGTTTTGATATGCTCTTCACAGTATTCGAACTGCTATAGTTACTGGTAAGCTAGTACGGTTTATTTATATGAAATTTTAGAAATATACTAACTATATTTCAAACTAGGAACTCTTCGATAACAAGGTCGTTGTTAAATTTACCGACGTAAAAGTAAATATAAATGTTTATTTAGTTTCTCTGATTGAAATTGAAATGGAAAAATTTATAATACTAAACGTATCGAGTTATTAAATTAAGTTACTAACTTCTAATAGAAAATATAAAGAAAAAATTTCTAAATTGATGTATAGGAACATAATTGAACAGGTGAAAATTAGTTATTAAAATTGTCAAACATTTAACTTAAATAAAATGCTGTTTCTGTTCTGTAGTAAAATACCAGTAAATAAATATTATGATCTGATTGTAAATAATTTTAATGTTTACATGTATACTTAAACATTCTTAGTCATGATTTCACAAGTGATTCTCAAGAAAAAATTTGAATCATGCCATAAAACTCTTCTATTTCAGTTTTCAAACTTGACTTTCAAATGAAGAGTTCTCAAAATTGTATATATGGAATCTTCAGAGACTGTAAGGTTAAAAAGCGTTTAGGTTACTGTTCTGGAGAGTCCCCAAATCTATAAAACTATATGTTGCGTTTGTAATATATACGGTTACGTATATATAATATATATTAAGTTATAATACGAAATATTGATGATTTTTATGAATTTGTGGAAATAAAAAATTTTTTTCGATCACTAGTAATTAATTCCTTAATTTTTTTATTAACATTTAATCCAGAGTAGACTTAGTAGCGGCTAAATATTAAAATTGTTTGCTAATCCTGAAAATTTTTGCATCTCTAATGCTATACAACTGTTGGTCTTAAATATTCAAATTACAGACAAGCAATGTACTTTTTTGTTTAAGTAGACATAGTTAAGTAAAGTGAAAGATGGGATGAATCCCTCTCAATTAACTAAAATAGCCATTTTGATTCCACACTACCCTTAACATTTAGTAAAGGATTGTGTGAACGAAATGGAATGGAAGTTTTCGGGCGCTTATAATGTTGAATCTAGGTATCTATAAGACTGGACAGCGACACAACACATGTCAGGTGCCTCTTTGGACCTTATATCTAACAACTTAATAGTAATCATTTTGTCTACATTTGTGAACTACCTTGAATGAGATATAAACCAGTATAATAAAGATTTATTTTTTCTGGAAGTCCAAATAACAATGTTATATGCTTACAATTTTTATCGGAAGAAGATTAGGTTGTTGAAGATTAGGTGGTTCAGGTGACCTCAATTTTGATTTTAACACATTCACTTGTTTCGTTTTTAATCTACTTAAGCATACAAATTATTTCTCCCAAATTAAGCTATTATGCACTTCATTTACCTCTCAATCTAATTTACCTCTTCACAGTTGGAATACAGTTTTGTCTTCAGTAATGCCAAGGTAAAGACATTTTACTTGCATTCTTCTTCTTAATATTCTAAAATTAAACGTTAAATAATATTAGGTGTTATCCATGTAATATTACACCATCGGATACATTAGTGTACGACTAAGTTTGATCGATATTACCATTTACGGTTTTTTTGCTTACGTCAATATACATACTCTTAATGCACCGCATTCTTTTGCAATGCGTAAACATAGCAATGCTCTAAAAATGGGACTTAGCTGATTAACATTCCTCCCTTACAGCTATTGTTCTTTAAATAGCTTTATTGCAAGATTCATTTATACGAAACCTTGCGACATAATGTATTACGAATTAGTGAAATAGCGATAGTGAAATAAAATTATTTCATATTTATTTTCTGTTAATAAATAAATTTATAAAATCTCTAATACTGCAATTAATACTAATACTAATACTGCAACAATTTTATTTTCATAACTTTCTTTTTTATAAAAATTAAAATGTTTTAAAACTTTTGTACAATATGAATTTAGATCTATATAAACCATAATTAAAATGTATCAACTGTTCATTTATTAATTAACTTTTTTTTAAACTTAAGCGTCAATGCAGTTAAGTCTAACAGTTCACGTGGATCACCTTTACTGGCTTCATCAAGGAATAGTTTAATAAGAGAAGAAGAGGCTGTCGAAAAGTTATACATAAATCATAAACAACCAATCTTATTGGATGATTCTGAGTTTAATCATCCTTATAAAGATCTATATAACTTAGAAAAATTTTTGCAAAATAATTTGGACCGTAATATCCCTGAATATGATACAATGTGTACAGAAAATGCATCGGAACCAGTTAAACTCCTTCCTAAATTACCACAAAAACGGTCTTCGAAAAACAAAATTTCAAATATTGAAGCTTTCTCTAAAGAACGTGATGCATTTTTGGACTTATGTAGCACCAATCGTTTTTATAAGAATCCAAATTTCAAGGAGCCATGGAAAGTGTTCACCCAGTACGTAATTCTATACATATATACCTTTGTTACATATCCACATATTAACTGTTTACTTTTTAGGCTTTCTGAGAAGCTGGCAAATGAAATTGTGAATACAGTAGAACTTGATTTCTCCTCAGGTGTGACAAAATTCGTTGAAGACTTTTTGGAAGTGGAAACTCAAATATAAAGTAGCTGTTTTTTGAAGTTTTTTCTTATTTTTCCTATTTAATCAAGAACCATCACCAATTGTTTATTTTATTGAAAAAACGAATATTTTTATACACACTTATTCAGATAGAAATTACTTATGAATTACCCTATTTTTATTTATGCATAAAATTGTAAAATTACTTAATTTCCAAACTTTTTTAATTAATTTAAATAATTAACAAAAATAGCAATAATTTAAATTAATTAAAAATTTTAGGTAATTTATTAATTTTATGCATAACTATAATTATGTGGGTTAATTTAATTAAACCTGTAATCGATATTTTATCTTATATATTTTCTAAGTACATAATTTCAATAAATTACATGCTTTTTATGTTTTTATATTTTTATTCAATTTAGTTTTAATATATTAGCTAAGAAGTTTTTATACGGAATAATAGCACAACTGCCAATACATCTATATTCTGCTGATCCAAGTAAACTAAAAACAACGAATTTCTTGCGTGAAACATCAATACTACTCTCTTGCTATAAGAGACTATTTATAAAGTCTCTAATTATGTGAATAATTACATAATTTGATAGCACCTCTTGTGAATCTCTTGTGAACATTCACTGAAAATTGTTTGGAAACCTCCCATCAACTGCTTAAAGTTAATTATAAATAATTATATAAACAAAATTGAAAAAGTTTTATACATTTATATTTACATATTTAAAGAGAGTTAAAAATTTATTTTATATTAAGAATTTATACAAATTATCACGTGTAGTATAAGTCGTCTATAAAGAGAGTATTACCACGTCTCTGAAAACAAATCAAATAAATTTTCTTTATATAAAAACAAAGTTTTTTTGGTCGTTTTTTAATATATTTCATCATTATAATAAACTAAGAATAAGTAGTGATAAGCTTTATACTAATATAATTTACAATTTTATACAATAACTTTGGCAGTATGTTTATATAAAAAAAAAGTCAGTATTTTTATACTGGCTAGTAAAGAAAAAAGTGTTACCAACGCGATAAGCGAACTATTGTGAACTTTCATTGGAAACTTCAACGAATATTGCAAAGATATGTTAAAGATTATATGTAAACAAAAATTTAAAAATTTCATAAATTTGAAAATTAAGAAAAGAAAAAATACGGCAAAAAACAGCAAGTTATTGGCCTATACTGGCCAAAATGTACACAAAACAACAAAATTATTTTCTCTACCTCGGCCAGTATAGATATGCTAGCCAAGCACATCAGCCAGTAAAAAAAGTGTTACAAACGCAATAAGCGAATTATTGTGAACCTTCATTGGAAACTCCAACGAATCATATGTCAAAAATTATATGTAACTAAAAATTCAAAAATTTCATAAATTTGAAAATTGGAAAAAAAGGAAAATTTCAGTGTTTTTTTATTTGAAATTTTCAATATTTTTACCATTCCTTTTAATTCTGTATTCATTTTCAATGTGTGTTAATTATTTATTTTTGTAAATAATGTAATTTGCTTGCTTTATGCTATTTTTGCTTTTTGTCAAAATATATGTTAACCCTTGAGAGATTGCAACAGTGATGCCAACGCCAGCATGCATTTTTGCCATACTTGCGAGTCACCGAAAACGCCTATCATTTTATTTTTTTGGTATATGTGCTAAATATATGAATTTAAATTGATGAATTATTAAAACTTAATTTAAAATAATAACTGTATTGTTGTTTTTGTCGAAAATAACTCTGAATGTATGTATTTGCCTCTGCAGTCCTCCAATATGTACAGTGATTTGTATTGTCCCGTGATTGTATCTGGATTGGACAGCTCTGATGTAGATAAACACTTTCATATTTAAAAAAAAAATTCGGAATCGAGTTTATTTCGAGCACTTCTTTTAACATCGTTTTATTTAGATTTGTAATTAAAAATTTCTTTATCTATTGTGAATGAGCAATTTTCCAGATTTTCCAATGAAGTTTGAAAGGCGGCAATAATCATATTGTTGATTTGTACGGTTTTTTTGTAAACATTTATTGAAATTAATACTAAAAAACAAAAAAAAAGACAATTAATATTTTTAACAGAATTCTTTAACGTACAATAAATAAATAAAAACATAACGGAAGTTTTTACATCTACATATGACGTACAATGGCTGATGAAGTTAGGCAAACCATTGATATTAATTATAAATCCATAAAGTATGTATAAATAATTATTGATAAGCATTAAATTCAATAAATTCTTCACGTTTAGTTGTGAAAATATACCGGAATTATTTCTGGACAAATTAATTGCTAAAAAACATTTTAGCAAATTTGGTAGAATAATCCGGTTTATTTTACGTCCTCGACGGTTAAGTTGCACAATTGAGTATGAGACAGAGGATGAAGCAGAGAATGCCTTCATGAGTGGCTCTCCATACAACGGTCATGAATTTAGTATATCGTATTCTGAACGTGAAATAGCTCATGTGCAAAATACGGAAGAATGGGTGGATCCGGATGTGAAAGCTGAACTAGAAGCAATGTCATCGAAATCTCACTCATATCGTCCTATAAAACAAAATACTCTAAATATAGTACCAAAGTCACCTAAACAAGATACACCTAAAGTAGATACGACTCTACGTAATGAATTGGAATCAATATTGCGACGTCCAGCTTTGTCGGAAGAAGACAAATATCGTATACTAGATGCGAGAGATAAATTGATTAGATTAACCACAGTTCGCACTACTGATATAAAAGAGGCTAAAAGCATTAAAGGTAATAAATAATAACTATTGCAACTTAAAGTTACAAGTTAAGGCATTTTTTTTAACATTCTAGGTACATGTCCAGATATGTGCCCTGAAAAAGAGCGACTTATGCGTGAGTTTCAGCGACAAATCGCACTTTTTGAGACTCGAAATACAAATACTGATAATGGATCTAGTATTTCACATCGGCGAGCAATCAAAGAATATTCCCGTAGCAGTGCCGATCAAGAAATGCCGCTTGCGCATGAATTGCGTCCAGAACCAGTCTTAGAAATGACTATGCATTATTTAATGTACAATATTATGGATCTTTGTGATGATCCAAATGTGTCACCAAGTGATTGGTTTCACTTTGTTTGGGATAGAACGCGTTCCATACGTAAAGATATTACTCAACAAGAATTATGTTCACTAGAAGCCGTTGAATTGGTTGAGCAGTGCGCACGATTTCATATTCATTGTGCTGCACGTTTGGTAGCTGTGGATCCTTCAGTATTTGATAAAAAAATCAATGCTGAGAACTTAACAAAGTGCCTTCAAAGTTTGAAGTATATGTATCATGATTTGCGTATCAAAAACATACCCTGCCCTTGTGAACCGGAGTTTCGATCATACATCATATTATTAAATTTAGGCAATTCCAGTTTTCTTTGGGAGCTTAAGCAATTACCAGAACACATACAAAACTCGAAGGAAATTAAACGTGCTGTGGCTTTTTATAATGCACTACAGAACAATAATTATGTCAGATTTTTTAATATGGTACGGGATCCAGAGACAAGTTATCTAAGTGCTTGTTTACTTCTTGGTTACTTTACAAAGCTGCGCTTGTGTGCCATGAACGTTATAGTAAAATCATATAAGTGGCGCAAAAACGAGGCTTTTCTACCATTATCTTATTTGAGCAACATACTTGCCTTTGAAGATGATGAAACGGCAGAAAATTTTTTAATTTACCATGGATTGGAATGCATAGATTCGCGGGTATTGTTAGATCGCATTAAAGAACCCGAAATGGAATACAGCATGATGAGAGCGAAAAAGGTATGTTCAATTGAAATGATTATTTTAAAATATTACTAATCATGCATTAATAGTTAGTAGAATCAAAACGTACTACTAGCGTAGGGGAATGTGTGTGTGGAGAGAAACTTTATCCAATTGTGGAATATCAAGAACATCAACCACATAACAGTTTTGATGAGAATGGAATGCTTAAACCGGATGCTTGGCAAGCAGATGATCAGTTACGTGGTGAAGCTGCGAAGGCTAAACAACTTGAGCGACAACAGCAAAAACAAACTAAATCAGCACAAAAAGTTAGCTTACCATCCATGAATAAATCCGATGCAAACATCTTCAAACCACCACAAACAACGAATATTATTGGTTCCAGTTCCAGTCCACACCAGCAGTTTAAAACCCCGCCAGAGAAAACCAACAATATATTCACTACATCAGTTTTTGCCAATAAAAGTGAGCCAAGAGAAGTGAACCAAACCAAGAGTCAAATTAATAAGTCACAAGGTTTTGGGAGCACTAAATCCTTATTTCAAGCTCCAAATAACGTTAGTACTCTTAATACTGGAAGTTTTGGTAATATCGGACATAATTTCAGTTTCGGCCAAATGCCAAAAGTGCCACCAACTGCAACGTTGTCTACTGGCAACATATTTAGCAACGTTGAAAATAAACCTTTCACCAAAACTCAAAGTATTTTCGGAGTTGTTGCAAAAGATTCAACTGAGGCGCTTCAGCAGCGGCCTGCACTGCCCAAGTCAATACCAAGCGATAGCATATTTCAACACTTCAATGCGGCCAACACTACCACTGACAAGGGTGTAAAGAGTTCGATAACAACTACAAGTGTCAATAGACACTTACTTTTGGAAACAAATAACTTTCAAGCACAAAAGGAATTACTGCAAAAGCAACAAAAGGAATTAGAAATGAATTTAGCTGAAGAGCGAGCTCGTATACGGGAGCTTGAGATGAAAGAAGCCTTGAAGCAGGAAAAAAAACGAGAAGAAGAGAAGGAAAAGTTGAGACTTGTAGAAGAAACAAATCGAAAAAAGGAAGCATTAATGGATCGAAATAAAAAATTAGAATCTTTGGAAAAAAATGCTAATGAAGAAACAGAGAGAGAATTGAGCTGCTTCCTTGCTGAAGAAATCTCGGAAATCGCGAATCAAGTCTTATCAAGCTATCGGTCGTTTGATAAGACTTGCAAAGAAACATTAGTATCAATTCTTAACGAAACTGTCGACAAAGAAATTCAGGGTATAGCAGAGGAAGAGTACGAATTTAAGTGCTATGAACAATGTTTGGTTCGTCGAACTTTTCAAAGCTGGTTGCGCTTTACACAGAAATCTATACGTGATCGTAAACTAATTGAGACCACGCCTTTGTGGGTAACAACGGAAACCTCTGCTGAGAAAGTAGCGAAGCTCGTACATCCCAGTCAGTATGAGAATTTAAGCTTAATGAGACGCTATCGTTATGGACAACCATGTAATTTCGAATTGTTACTAAAAGAGAATGAACTGGGAGGTCCGCAACAGAACGTAAATTTGCACCAAATCATTGGCAAAATATTTTTCTCTAATCAGCAGATGTGCTCTGGACTATTAAAAACAAGAAAATTTTTTAAATTAGCTCTTTCCATACCATCGGAAAATGAAGAAATGCCAGGATTTGAGAGTATTTGCAATAAATGGCTTAAGAAATATGTTAAAAAACCAACAATGCAAACTGAAAAGAGCACAGCTTACATTTGTTCCATGGAACAGGATATCGCGTTATGCGTGCGCAAAATTACGGGAACTAAACTACAAACAGAACAACATACCTCATTGAAAAACGAGTGTGACAATATTGACGCACTGATTTGTTTCTTAACCAGCGTTAATCTACAAACGACAAAGCAACGTTTACATTTTTTGCTAAAACTGATTCGCATTTATAAACCCATACCAGTTGCTTTCATTATTTATAATTGCAGCCATGATAAACAAGATCTGGAAAGGATTTTAGACTTGCAAAAACTGCAGCGGGCGAATTTGGTAAGCTCCTACGAATTCTTTGGCTGTTCGACTCGCAAATCGGAATTCCGCTGCGACGCCAAATTGAGTGTTGCAGTGAAATTCGTAGCGCAAGAAGCTAACGCGTACAAAAGCCGAACTGATGACACACTGGAAATGCAATCAGTGAAAAATTGGATAGAAATTAACTTAGGCGAAGAAATGTGGTTGCGTTGGTTTGACTCAACACTTAATAATCCAGTCTTTAACAAATTATGTAGCAGTTTTGAGAAAGTTATGGAATTGCACAATGAATCTGTAGTACGTTTGATGGATTTGGTTCGAATAAGCGACGATTATTTACCAGAATTACCAACTGAATTAGCTATTTTTGTCTCTAACCCAACAAGAGATGTACCTCTGGGATACGAATATTTTCCTAAAGACTGGTACAATAGTAGTAGACAACAAAAAATTTTACAGTTGTTGAAAAAATTACTATTGCCGAAGATGCAGGACGCTCCTCCTTGTGACTACGATGAGTATATGTTATGGCTTTTAAGATATGCTGGTCTCTGTGTGCCAAGGAACGAAGAAAAAGCTGCACGAGTAGCGCATGAAGCTATCAAAGAATTAGTTAATGAATTAAGCAATCCAGACTTGCAGTCTTTAAAAATAAGTGCTCGCTTCAGTTCCATCAACTATTTGCAAGTGGTAAAAGTGCTAGCTTATGCACACATTGAAAATGCAGTTCAAGAAAGTTCATCTGCTAAAGAATTACCTGAGCATGTTATCTATAAACGTAAGGATATGTTGATGTACCAAACACAGCCTTGGTGGCTCAATTGCAATGGAATTAAAGATATAAAATTAGACTTAACAGTTGTTGATAAAGACTCATCTATGCAAAGTGATTCTGCAGAAGCTACAATAAATGATATTGAATCCATAGTACAACATGCTGAAAATGTCTTAGCCAAATCAGAAAAGAAAATGGATACGCTAAAAAAACAAACACTCAACGCAAGCTTGATATCTCGAGAACTTGACGAAAGTCTTTACCAATTTGAATTTGCTAAACTTATTGGTTGCTTCGATATACCAAAAATTGATGAGAAAGAGTCCGAGGATAGTGAAAACTGTGTCAACACTTTCAATATCAAATACAATAAGTGCAACAAACGTAAGCTTGATGAGAATGCATCAGAAATGGAGGAAATTATGAAGAAAGCCTTCGATATAGTAGAAAAAATCGACAAAAGAATTCAATCAGAAAAAAAACACAAGTTTCACTGAATCAAAAAATGTATACAAATCTATGTGCATAGCGTTATATATGATATCCTATAATTTTATTACCAAACCTAACGAGACAATGATGTGGTATTTATTTCCATAAATAAAAATTTTAAGTTATTTAATACAATTAAAAAAATTGAAAAATATCTGAAATACTTTCTTTTTTTTTAATTTTTTAGTCTTTAGTCTTTTGGTTTTGACTAAATAAAAAATGGATGTAGATAATACAATGGACGATTTTATTGAGTGGTTTATGATTGCTTTGTAACGTTAAGTCAATTATAGAATACTCTTTTTCTAAACTCTACATTCATAGAATAAATAAAATTAAATTTAACGAACATATATTTTCTATAAAAGGTATATCATATAGACAGTTAATTTCATCCTATCATAAACATGACTTGCGGTTATGGCTATGTCAATGAATGCATGATATGATGGAAGCGATTAATGTATCCAAAGTGGAGGTAGATCGCTATTAACTGTTGGGCTATTGGGATATCCATACAAGTATTTGGATTGCTGGAAGCTGAGCAACATACGACATATGGTGGGATTTAGACGAAATACGCATAGCTTGGTTTTGACATGTATGTATACGATTTTATGACGTCTTATAGAGCTATAGGATCTATACTAGAGTAGTATAAACCACAATGGGTCTCCTATTGTATTCATCAATATTCTTTAACTTCAACTTAAATATAACCTGCGAAAACTTGATCTGTTAGGACGAAATGCAGCTTGTCTCTTCAATTAGAGTTTTATCAGTCACTAGGACAGTTACTAATTCTTCACATTCGTTTGTAAAACCATAGACATTGTTTGCTATATAAATATCCACGAGTTACAATAATCTCGCATAAAACACCTCATACAACCTATAAGACATTATCAAACCGTTTGAATAATGCGATAGTAAAAGCTCATTTCGTCTTTGAAATGCATTATCTCTGATAAACCCATACGTAAATAAAGTATTTCACAAACATTAATTAATTTAACTCATTTGCATTGCTAATATTTTTAATCAACAATTTATTTTTAAAACGTCAACATGAAAATGTAAACAACAAAAAATTTGTGCATCAGACAAACAAGTTCCAAAGTCCATTAAGTTTGTTTTTTGTTGAATGAAGAAAATAAAACAAAATTCGCACAATTTCAAATCCACATGACCACAAATTGCATGAATAATTTCGTTGACAAAATGCCAAGTTCAATTTATGTGTAATAAAACGATAACTTATGAGTTTTCTACCATTTAATGCTAAATTCTTTAAAGAGAGCTTACTACACTAAGACTTAAGTGCTACTTAAAACAAAAGCATTTTGTTATTGTTTTTTTTTTCTGGCAGCGGTAACAACTAAAACGTCAGCAACTCATAAGCAAACTATTGAAGTGTTGTACACGGTAGTTTTCTTATAATTCCTTGCCAAATGATTGACTCATCTGCTTATCTCCTGATGTTAATTGCGTCGCTGCTTGAAATGTTTTAGTTGCTCACCGCTACCATTTTTGTCTATTTCATAAAATTTTCAAACTCTAAAAATAAGTGCTGGATTATTACATTTTAAATGATCGATAAATTTCTTAAAATTTATAGGATACTGCATAAATTTAAAGTTGCTATTTAATTTTATTCTGGTTAATAGGTTTTTATTGCATATGGTGTTGAACCTTGCATTGACGAAGCGCCTCATTGAAACCCTCACACAAAGTTAAATCGCTTTGACCCTGAGCACACTGCAAGAACTGTTTGATCTCAAAACTGCATGGTCCTTGTGGTTCATTTGGCTGGGCACCATTCGCATAGTATTGTTGATGAGCAGGGCCGGCGGCTGCAGGTGCGGGAGCAGCAACTTCTTTATCACCAGAGCCACTAAACATACCAGTTAAACCGGCGCCAACAACATGACCCTAAAAGCATTTACAAATAATTAATTTCTTGATATTTTTAAATAAAATAAAGCTATACTTACCACAGCTGAACCAACCGCTACACCACCAGCAGTAGCTGCCATTTGCTGGAACATTGATGGTTGCTGTGGTGCAACCCCGCTAGGCGCTGCTTGCATCGGTGCTGGTGCTGCAGGGGCGGCACGTGCCGGTAAATTTTGACTTGGAGCAGGAGCTGGTGGACGAGATGGCATGCTTCTGTAATACATTCATAAAAGAAAAATAGATTACGATTCAAATTAAACATCAGAATTAATTCAATAAATATTTTATAACTGCAGCGTTTCTACGCATAAGCAATTGTTACGTAACGCTATTTTTGCTATTTCATCGAATTTTCAAAGGCACAAAATCGCATAAAATATATATAATGCCGTATAACACATTTCTGTTAATTAAATTAAAATACATTGCAAAATAAAGTATTAATTAAGCAGCTTTGTTGGTTCTAGAAAATTCTTCAATTTCAATATTTTCAACAAACCTCCTGGAAGCTGGTGGTGGGCTTGCAGAACGTCCTCGTCGAACCATTTTTGTTTAGCAGATTTTTAAACAGATGTAAATATTATAAATTTTTTTTTCCAAAAATATGTTTTTCTATGTATGAGAAATTTTTTTTTTGATTTTTATCAAATTCACGTTTTCTCTTCGATTGCTAGATTTCAAATGACTTTTCACAATATCCGAATTGACATTACAATTTTTGTTGTTGTTCTGTTTATGATAACGTCAAATAGAAAATGATATGTGGTATGAAACACCTAGTCTAGATTGCTTTTTAAGAAACATTGTTGCTGCTGACTTCATCTCATATATTGTTGGATATATATTCACGATTTTATTTTACATACTACTTCTGTGCTAAAATCATAGACTCTGGTGAAGTGTTAAATGAAAAGTAGAAACTTCATATTTTGTGAACGGAACAGAGCTCCGAAAAACTTTAAAACCATTCTCAAAAAACCGGCAACAGCTGATGCAACAGTGAAAATTTAATAATTTATGTTCAATTTCAATATGAAAATGTGTTAATAAAGTTCACAATGCTACGTGTAGGAGGTGAACACACTGAAATACACTATTCTTTGATGAATAAGACTATCTTTTAACGACTTTTTACAAAATAGCAACTACGAAACAACATGTTTTTTTATCTCTTATTATTAATTAAATAGCTAGAATATCATTATTAATTTATTCTGTTTAAAGATATTATCATTGATTAATGCTGAAGATACACCTAATAATTATTTTGGATGTAAATATTTGTTAAAATTACTAGGAGCAAGCAAAGTAATTTTTGTAGAATATACGAAAAATTTAATTAAAAATACCTTGCATATGAAACATTGATTTTTCACAAGAACATATATGCTTGTCATATCGTTACCAAACACTTTTTCTGTATTCACCACAGAAAAACTTTATAAAACTAGTCTGAGCCAGTCTGGCAGCACTTAAATAGCTTTTTATTGTAAAATTCCGCGGGATTTATAGTTTGTGAAATTCAGTCGTCGTTAATCATAATAAATTGTAAATTGTATTCTAGTCTTTGACAGATTAATTTTATAACAACAATGAATGATTCTTGTAAGTAATAATTAGTTTTTTGATTATTGTTTGGTAATTACATTTATTATTAGTTGGTGGCGAGTTTGTTCAAACGCAGGCCGGACAAGCCGGTGCTGCATCTGGTTCAAAAGGAGAGGTAATTAAATGTTTTTTAAATGTGTGCATTAGTCTATATGTTTCTGTTTACTCAAGGGAATTGCTCCAGTATTAATCAAACAAATCTTTGAATCCTCTGAGGGAGCATTTAAACTGTGGAATTTATCGTTCGGTTTGGTGTCTATTTCAGCAATAGTGCGTAGTATTGAAACCTCTTCCACAAAGGTCACTTATTCATTGGAAGATCATACGGGACGCATAGACGGGCATTATTGGCTTGAGGAGGGTAACGCTTCTAAAGCTCCAGATGTAATGATAGACAACTATGCCAAAGTGTATGGTAGCATACGTTCACAGGGTGGAAACAAAACTTTGATGATCTTCAAATTAGTACCAATATCTGATCCGAACGAAATATGTACTCATATTTTAGAAATGTTGAATGCGCGTTATTCCGCTGAAGCATTTTCACACGTTGGCAGTGGAATGAGTGAATTCGAAAATACTGATCAGAACACCGAATCAACTAATACTGCAATAGGTCTAGATAGCAAACAACAAATGTTATTAAATGCAATCAAAAGTTATGCTTCTGACGAAGGTATCAGTCGCAATCAGTTGCAGATGAGATTCAACCACGTCAATAAGAACGAAATCAAGTAAGTTAAGTGGTTTTTTACCTATTTGAAAATTGTAAATATTTGTTTTATTTTATTTCAAGCGAAATATTAGATTTCATGACTGCAGAAGGACATATTTATTCCAGTATTGATCCAGACCATTTCCGCAGCACGGAATAAATAATGGCTGACTTTTTCCTCACATATTTTTTTTAATTTTTTTTTAAAATTTTTTCATTTTCATTTAATTTTTTATATTATAAGTTTATTGCTTTAAAATGTTGTACTCTCTGCATTTTTAAAGAAAGTAATTAGAACAGAAATACATATTTTGTTAGTTACAATGAAAAAATTGTTATAAATTTGTTCGTAGTTTGTTTGCTACAATTAATAATGATTAAACTAATGAGAAGGTTGATACATGGTTTTTGTAGTCAACCGTCGACCTGAGAGCAAGTACATAAAGAGAAGATGCAACACTGCACAATGAACACGGATAAAGCGGCTGATGTAATTTAAAGTGGGAGTAACAATTAGCAAATAGGTAGAAATATATTAATTAACCACTTTGCAGGTGAAGAAAAGATGAATTTGTTCGTTAATAACGTTTGATTTGGTCGTTTGTGTTAACATTGTACGATAAGATTTAAGCTGTATAGCCCATTTTTTTTAAAACGGGTGTAAAAATATATAACAAAACCTTTCTCCAAAGTGATTGCTTTCTACCTAGTTCATGCCCTTGCTTTCTGATTTAGATGAGCCTAGTTCACTAGGTATTAAATCTATATTCTTATTCCTCTCTCCCATGATTACTGGAATGAAGTTTCCACATTAAAGAATAATACATTCTTTAATTGTAAATCTGCATTAGCCCGAAATCTACCATAAGCTTGGAGAATGCCCGGCACTGATGCATAAGCGGAAGAAACACCTATGAGGGTATTTCACGGATCATAAGGAGTCAAGACTGGGAAAGATAGGCTCTATACTGTCTTTCGTTAAAGAAATAGGATTTGGAGAAACACTTTAATTCGACTAAGGGGCAATAGGTCTTTAGGTCGCAGTGCACTACCCCTTTTCAAATATTAATTATTAGCACGAAATCTATAAATAATTAACGATCTAATTTTTTTTATTTCTATACTCCATTAGGAGCTTAAGGAGTATACAAAAGTTTTCTACTGGCTTCTATTTTGTGCTATTGCTCTCAATTCGAAAAACGATTTGCCCGTCTCCTATGGAACTGTCCTCCAAGTCATTGCTGGTCTGCCTCTGTGCCTAGTCCCCTGGGGGTAAAGATCTAATATAGTATATTAAATCAAGATATCACATTAAGAGTTAAGTAATTCAGATTGGTAATGACGCCTTTGTAGTGATGTATTAACGAATATTAGATTGATTGGATAGATATCTAATAAGAATAATGTGCCAGATTTTCGATTCTTCAATTGTTTGAAAACCGTAGATATAGATATAGATTTTTATTTCTAGATAGATTTTATTCTTAATCGTGTTGGGAAATTCAACATTTGGCGCGATGTTGTTTTGTCACTGATCTTGTTGATTTACAGAGAATTAGTTCTTTTCTTTTTGGTTCTTGGTGAGTCACTTTCCATAATATTGATAGTAAATTTACAGGAGTAGCACAATATTAAGATTTTATTTAGCCGTTGAGTATACCAGGGAGATCGCAGAAGTTAACAGGCAATTTATTGAAGAGTTTCATGTCATATTTTTGATATTGTTGATTCTTATTTTGATTAATTCCTTGTATTATGTGATTATAACAATGAAACTATATAATATTGATGGCAAGTTACGTTATGTAAATCGATTTTGCGTATACAATCGAGTTATAAAATTCTCTGCATTTTTATATTAAACAGTTTAGTTTTTTAAATCATAGATTTTGCTATTGTATTTATATAATTAAATTTTTCTACTTTAGAAAAAGGGGGAATATCTAGAATCATATCGTTAGAACTCTATTCAAAATAGTATAGATGTCTTTGATATGCTTATATGAAAGTTTCTCTCTTAAATCATTTGTTATTTGAAAAGAAATGATGAAGATTTGCTTCAATAAGAAATGATGTCTAGAACGAAGTAGAATTTTAATCATAGGTGATACGAGAGCTCAGATCAGACTAACACCTAACCCGTTATTATTATCGATAGGAGATGATATATGATTATAAATTGCAACAAAATAAATTATTCAGAAGGGTAAATGTATGCAATAATAACATAACATTATATATATAAATATAATATATATAATATAAATTATATTTTTAATTTATTTTTTTTTTTAATATTTAAGAGTATTTATTATTATTATGACAAACTATAGATATTATTTTAGTTTGTCACTTTAGGAGATTTTAAATTTTAATCACTCGGTGCGTTACATTGACAATGCCAAGTATGTAGGCGCCTTTATCACACGTAACTCCTTTATTTTGGACTCAACTGCCGCAGTTGGTGGTCGTTGTTATTGCTCATATGTGGTGACCATATGTGGTGCTATCAATTTAAAAGCAATTAAAATCTTGTTAATGCAAATGGTTGAAGTTGGCCAATTTACTTAATCAAAAGCCAAAATAACGTTGGTTGAGTTTTTTTATTGCATATTGAATGCACTGAAATTGCAGATTTTTGGTTATATACTTAAGTCCACTTTGTTTGTATCTCAACGTTTAACTGATTTGTGTATTTCTTTGGTTGATCGGTTAAACAAGTAACGAGATTTTATGGTAGTTGGCTTTGAAGTTTGCGGTTGACAAGATTTCTGCGGTGGTCCAAGTGCCTACACTACATACATTTAGTACATTTAGTTGCTTATAGTGGATACAAATAATGGACATACATATGTGTGTTAAAGTGCTTGTGTTTACGCATTTTTAACGCATTTTAAACATTAAGCAAAATATATCTAACAAATAGTTTATTTAAAAAAAAAATGTATTCATATTTCAGTCATAATTTTTATGCCTCTTGACAACGTCGAAGGTTATGCTAACAGCAATTTAATTTATTTGCTCGCAGCTCTTGCCAACTTTTAGCTCAACTGGGCTTATGAAGTCAAACGAAATATGGTTACATTAGCAAATGTGGCTTGGAGCGCGTTAATATATGCAATCGGCGTAATTGAATTGTATGCTGAGCTTCCTCTGAATCGGCACGTCTTGCGATCCACACAACACTATCCACTCAAAGCTAGAATCAAAAGAGAGCGATTTGTGTAAGTCCGCCTCCCTTGGTTATCTGAAAGTGAAATTATTCCGACACTAGAATCTCAGTGTCGCTGCGGAAATATTATCAAAAACATTTAAAAAAAGTCGTTATTTTTGACAAATTGCGGAAATTTAATTAAAAATAGGGAAATGCGTACATTTTACAAACTATTTTAATGAAGGCCGATGCGTGCTTAAACTGTTAAGTGTTTCGCTAGATTTGAATTACCAACGATACCAATTGATAGCCCTTCTATGACGCTCAGAAGCTATTATGAATCTTTGTGTGTCTTTATACATTATATGTGGTATGTCTTCCTACATTCTATTACATTATATATGATATTATAAGATCGTGTTTAATATTCACAAGAGTTAGAAATCTCTTTATAGAGCTAGTATGTTATCTTTAAATATAGATAAATTAATATCAATTTATTAATAAATTAAATTAGTATTATAAAAAAATTATTACACGATATATAAATTATTAGAAAAAGGAATATTTTATAATTAAAAGAGGCCGATGAGATGATTGCGACCCATTAAAAATAACTAAACGATGGCGAAGCTAGAATTTTGTAATTGGTCTTTAAAGAATAAATTTCAACAACAAAAATTGTTGTTGGGTTCTACCTAGTACCGCTTTCTGGTTTCGTCTATGTCATATACTTATGCCGTCATATCTTGATATTTATCATTAATCTTCAAAAGTTCCTTAAGCTTTTAAAGAAATATAAAACCTCATTTTATCATTAATATGTATTGGACCCTAGCACATATAGTATGTAAAAACCAAATTTTAGCTATAAATAATGTTTATTTCGAACTTCTTTGATTAAAGATATTAGTTAGATCTTTTAATATAGAAAATAAAGTTCATATACTATAGTATACTTCTTATACTAAATATAAGCTGTAATATTCAAGGTTTCAAAATAAATATATTCAAGGTATATAAATAAACCAAATAATGAGTGTGGACAGTAAGTGTGAATATTGTTTTTATAAAAACTCAGAAGCAGAAAATGAACTTAGTCTTCGTTATACATGGAGTCTTCATAGTGAGGAATGTGCTTCAATGGGAACATATGCAAGAAAGAAATGAGGTTAGAAGAAATTATAATTAGATTGAGTATAAGCCGCACTCAAATCCTTGTTACCTCAGTGTAATAAGGGCTTAGATGTATTTGGACAGTTGAGTAGCCTTGTAATTAGCTTGGCACCTAAAATAGAGTCACGCTGAATAGAGTACCTATATAGTACGACAATGACTTCAGTTAGTAATGTGTAAAATGTATGTAGAAAACGCGAATTGAAAAATAATAGTTGTACTTCTCTGAACTAACTGGTTTGAAGAAAAGATGATTGAGACTGAGATTAACGACTGGAAAATAGTTGCAAGAAATCTTTCAAGACTAAAGAAGTATTGTAAAGAAGGTTAAGCTGTATTTTGGAATATAACTCCGATGAAGAAGAAATAAAAGACTTATTAGATTATTGGACTTTTCAACCACTTTTTATTAAACTATCTTTAAGGGCTAACATAATTGATAAGCTTTTCTTTTTTGATTATAATTGAAGAAATATTTATTTTATGGATAAAATATTGAGCAATAATCAATAACTAAAGCTTAACGAAAAACTGTTCTAAATTATTATAATTTAAAGATCATAGCTAAAAGTCAACAGGTAGAACTCCAAGCTCTACTTCTTCTTCTTAAATATAAAACCGGGGTTTCAAGACCTAATTTGTCACGATATTTAATTCGTATTTTTCAAGCAAAAATTGATTTATTTTTAGAGAAAAAATCATAACTTCATAAGAAAAAAAGAAAAAAAGACTGACATGAATTCATGTACATCGAATTACTGAAATTATTTGTAAAAGCAAAACGCGTAATTGGTTGTTAAAATAAAGTAAATTCATTAAAATGCAATCCACGTTCGTGCAATTTTTAATACAAAGTTTTATGTTAATTAATAATGAAAATAAAAAAATTAATATTTTATGTTTTTCCATTGAAACATGTTCATTTTTGCTGCCTTTTGGTTAACTTCTTCTTTGGAATTATTTGTTAACAATTGTGTTTTAATTTAATTTTTTTTT